GAGAGCTTATATAATAGGCTAGGCCTAGTAGAACCTTAGTAAGTAAAGCCTTAGAGCTTAGCAGGCCTAACTACTAATACCTATACTACTGCCTATACTTTAGAAACTCTTAGTATACTACTAAAAGAACTATAAGTAGAGGAAAACTAGTACTATAGATTCTTAGCAAATTTATCTAATTTATACTAGTAACTACTCTTAGGGTTAGCCCCTTATACTACTAGAATAATGTATCTATAACGCGTCTATATTACTACTAAACGCTAGTACACTACAGTAACTCCTTTTACTATAGCTATATACTCTACTATAAGCTTTATATTTAAGCTTAACTTAGTATCTCTACTTAAGCTATTTCTCTAAGGTAATAACTACTCTAAATAGTGCTTAGCCTAAATAATTACTTTTTAATACGTAGGTATTTAAAACCTAATCTTAAAGAAGACTTCTTACTCTATTACTTCTAGAGACTTTTAAAATACCTAGGATATATTAGATACTAAAGCTATAGTAATACTTATAAGTACTATATATAATAATCTTATAATAAGTATTATAACCTATAATTCTTCTTCTACTGCCTAAGACTACTTATCTGCCTACTTTAACTATAATATAGGTACTATAAGTATCTACCTCTTTAGGGCCTTTATAAATCTTTACTATAATAATAGTAATAACTTTACTTACTATCTTAATAACTTCTACTAAATATAGATATATATAGCTAAAAGGTATTTAACCTCTATATAAACTATAGTAAAAGCTATAAGTACTATATTTAAAAGTAATAAGGTTAAGAGCTTTTTCTTTCTAATTACCTTACTAGATACTATAGATTATATTATTAATAATCTCTTAACTAGAAATATTACCTTATTTACTAAGATTAAACCTAAGATGCTTAATCTAGCTAAGAAGTATAGTATTAATATTACTAACTCTTTAGCCTACTTTATTAATACTACTTTACGTAATTAAGCTCTTAAACTTTAGCCTAGACCTTCTAATACTAGAGCTCTAATATCTATAACTTAGATATTACTAGTTAAGTATATATAGTATAAAAAACAAAATTTTACTTTTATTAGCTACCTATATAAAGACTACTAAAAGCTTAAGGAATACTAAGACTTCTGCGCTAAATAAGCTAAAGAATTTAATACTAAATAACTAAAACCCTCTTATACTAAAGCTAATTTTGTAGTAATCTCTAATAATAATAACTCTAGCTCTAAGGTAAACGCCTTCTTAGCCTTAGTAATAAATAAATTTAGGAAATAATTATAATAGGTTAGTATAGATACTATTTCTTTATTTTCTACTATTACTAAAGTAGTATTCTTATCTTAACTAAGTACCTTCTTAGCTTCCTTTTAATAGCTATTTAATTCTAGTACTTTATAATATATATCTAGTAATCTTAATAATTTTACTACTCTACTTTTCTAGTAGAGTACTATTATAATAGCTAGATAATAGAAGCTTCTAATTAATAGCTAAGAAACAGTTTACCTTTCTTATTAACTACCTAATAGATTAATATATATAATAAAACTAATAAATATCCTTTATAGTAAGAAACTTTAGTAGACCTAACTATTTAGCTAGCCTTATATTTATAATAAGAGGTATAATATCTAAGCTTAAGGAGATAACCTCTTCTTTATATAATCTAATAGCTTATATTCTATATAGGTAAAATACTCTAGAAGTATAATAGAAATCTAAACTATAGATTCTAACTTACTATTTATAAATTTTGCCTTATACTAGGAATTCTACTATACTATTAGCTATTTCTACGTCCCTAGAAATCCTATATAACTATATATTAACGCTAATATAATTCTAAGTAAGCCCTTAGATTTTACCTATAAACTCTGCCTAATATCTAAGTTAGTCTACGTAAAGCCTAAACCCCTTCTAGTAAATAGTACCTTAAGGTTAGAATATATATATTTAGACTTTTTAGAAAAGTTTTCTACTTTATTTATTAGAGAGGCCTAGTATTTTATCTCCTTTATTAATAAAAAGACTTACTTTACTTAGATCTACTTCCTTAAGAAAAAGTCTAACGCTGCTTAAATAATTATAGATTTTATTACTTACCTAGAATACTAATTTACTACCTAAGTTAGAACCTTCTATTCTAATAATAAGAATAAGTATATAGTAAATAAACTTTAGATTTACTTTTAGAAATCTAGTATTATTTATAGTAAGGCGCTACCTTACTATTATAAAAGTAATAGTACTACTAAGTAATTTAACTATATAATTATTACTACTCCCTAAACTATAATCTTAGCTAACTCTAATCTTAAGCTTTAAGCTAAAGTAATATATACTACTACTTTTCTAAAGAATATTACTTCTTACTCCTACCTTTTAGTTAAGAAGACCTTATATAATACTTTTTTTAGGAGTAAGCTAGAAATTAAGTACCTTTACTTCTTTAGCTTAGAAGTCTATATCTATATCCTATCTAAAGCTAAGGCTCTAGAAACTAAACTTATATATTACTTAGAGCTAGAAATCTTTATAAAGTATAGAAAGTCTTTTAAAATCTATTAAGTCTATATTTTTTCTAGATATATTATCTTAGAGTTTAAAGATATAAGGTTCCTAGTATTCTACCTCTTATCTTCTAAGGTTTCTATAATTAACTCTAGTAATAAATTAATACTACCTATTCCTATAAAATTAGAATCTCTTAGAGATAGTAGAAATATTAAGGTATTAATTCCTAAAACTCTATATATACTAGTAAAATAAATAATATTAAGGCCTATACTTATACTTTCCTAAAGGTCTTTAGTCTAACATAGTATTACTTTCTTATAAACTACTAGAAAAGTACTAAATATATTAACCTCTTCTATATCTATACCTACTACTATAAGATTTAGCTAGATAGTAAAGCCTATATGTAAAGCTATAGGTAATACTACTACCTTATCTACTAATAAAGTAGATGCCTTTATATTTATAGTATAAGACTTTAAGGATAATATCTTAAATTTTCTAAAAGAAGCTTAGTAATCTTATAAATAGCTCTAATATAAAAAGATAATTAAAACTAAGCTTAGATTCTATATAGAGAATAGAATATAAACTAAGGTTAAAGCTTTAGAATCTAGATATATTATAGGTTCCTAATAGGTATTTGCTATTAAGTATAATATATCTAGAAATATTATTTAATTTAAAGCTTAACTTATAGCTTAAGGCTTCTTATAAGTTTAAGGCTAAGATTTTACTAAGACTTATTCTCTTATTATATACTATAACAGCCTCTATCTACTACTATAGTAAAGAGCCTAGTATAGTTATAAAATTTATTAAATTAATTTTAATACTATATACCTTAATAGTAACCTAATAGAGAAGCTATATATATATTAACTTCCTAAGAACTTCCTCTAAACTAGTAAAATCCTAAAGCTTAGAAAAACTCTCTATAGCCTTAAATAGTTAGAAAAAGAATAGTTTAGTATACTCTAAAACTACCTCTTTTTAGATAAATACTCCTAACTTAATTCTAATCTCTGTATCTTTATTAAGTATATAGCTATTACTATCTATGTTAATAACCTTCTCCTTATTAGCTCTATTTCTAAAATTTAATACTTTAAGAATACTATCTCTAAAGACCTTAAGTATAAAGACCTAGGTTAAGCCTATTACCTACTAAGACTTAAAATTAATATATAACTATACCTTATATCTTTAAGCTAGAAGTAATATACCCTTTAAATCCTAGATAGATTTAATATAGGCTAATATAATAGCAGGTAAACTCTACTTAACGCTAACTTCTTCTCTAACTATAATAAGAATCTAGTAGATAAAGATCTTAGATAATACTTTTAATAGTTAGTTAGCTTACTAAATTATCTAGTTATTAGTACTAAACCTAATTTAGTATTTATAGTTAGTATACTAGAAACTTTTAATTCTAATTTTTTATTAGAGTATTTTAAACTAGCCTTCTAGGTTCTCTAGTATATTTAATATATATATTAATATATTCTAGAATTTTAATATACTTCTTACTAAGTATTAGTTAATATATTTTTTAATATATCTTAGAGTTCTAATTTAAATACCTTTAAGTCTTTTAGTAGATATATCCTTTAATTAAATAGGTCTACTGTATTTTAGTTAGCTAAATAATAATCCTATATAGTAAAGAGTACCTATAAAGCTAAATATATAGTATATTTATATTCTACTACTTACTTCCTTTAGGCTAAATAAGTTATCTAGGAACTTTTTAATATTAAGTTACTCTCTTTAAAACTTAAACCCTACTTTACTCTTATTACTAATAGTTAACTAGCTATTACTCTTATTAAAGATTATTAAATTAATATTTACTTAAAATATATTAGTATTTATTTCTACTTTATAAGGAAGTAATATCTTTTAAAAGACTTTAATATCTAATATATTCCTTTAGTATCTAACCTAGCTAACGTCTATACTAAAGTACTACCTAGACCTACTTTAGTAGGTATCTTAAAGTAACTAGGGCTGTTAAATCCTTATAGGAGGTAAATATTCTATTACTATATATATGCATCCTATAGAAAGAGGACTGTTAGAAGGGGTAATTCCCTAGTCTATATTACTAGTTTAAGACTAGCGCATAAGCTATAGAGCTTGCGCCTCCTCTATAGTAATTCTATAACTTTTACACTACATACTACGTTTTACAACCTCCTCGTGTTCGAATCCATTGACGGAAGTATATACCTTTGTTGGGGAATACTCGAGTATCCATTCCAACTTATCGGGAACGACTGTTCCGCCTGCCTGATTACTGACACTCCTGTGATGTCGAGGAGCATGAATTGACAACAGAGATCTCGTGTATAGCGACATAATAGCCCACGCATCGGTGGATTGTACCCGCATTCGCTATGTAGTTTTGCAAGGAGGTCTTGTAACTGAAATCAACCACATCAAGTATGTTAAGAATCAATGAGTTCATCCTCCCTACGAAAAAACGTCTTAATTTCCCCCTAATACGCCTGCTTAAACACATCCTTAAGCATTTCAGGCAAAAACTTAAACTAGCTATTCTATTAGGTTTCTCTTGTACCATCGCAACTTCTTGCGCTAAGCGCTACAGGCTTCTCTATTGTTGTATAACACCTAGATAGCAGCTTAGCAAATGCTTTGATGGGCTTAGGCGCTTTTTCCTGGCTCTCTAACGCCTTGTTATTAATAACTAAACACTATTAATACTTTCGACTAATTAAACCTTCCTTGTTATACTTGTCCTGATACCTAGGCTTACAAGTATTTGAGCATAGTGTTAGCGGAAATGATTGCATATGTTGTTGAGCGACGCGTTAGGCATGTAAGCAGCGGGCTTAAGACGTAACGTGTCTATTATTTGTTGATTGTAGGGTTCTAGGTAAATGTCGCGCAGATTGTTAGTTGCGTAGGCGAAGAACTTGTTTAGTATGCCTTAGAAATGAGCGTTGTTGTTGACTACTTATACAGCGCATTAGCAGTTTGCGATAGCAAGTTTGGTATTTTATGGCGAACATACCCGCTGCTTTGCTTGGGGAGCTATTCTTACCGGAGTTGGCGTCTTCCAGCCCTTGTGGGCGCGTGTATGTGCCGTAGACGTAGAAACCCCAGGTCGGGTCGGTGTCGCTAGAAAATATGCTCAAAAATTCCTCACATCGTCTCTTTTGACAAGCGAATAGTGCCATAATGTATCGTCCTGGGTTGCGCTTAGGTCGATCGTTGGCAAAGGTCAAGGGCTAGGACAATTAACCAGGGTTATAAGGACACCTGTGAGGTCACGTGCTCGCTCTGTCCATACCTCGCGCTCCTACGAACAGTAACTTCATCGCAGCACTGTCCTAAAACCCAACAACATCTTCGTCGATACCCCCTCCTCCAAAAGCTCTCACCCAAAAGTCAAGCGCTCCTCCCCCGCGGCCTACGTGAAATTCACTCACGTTTCTTCGCCTTCCGCTGCCCGCTCGCCCAACGAAATCGACAACAGTACACGCAAGAACACTGATGCGGAGGGGAAGGCTTGGGCAGGGGACTGGTAGACAGAGTCGGGAGTCCGCAGTCAAGTCATACACTATAGGGGTGCTATATTTGTGACGAGACCGACCCATGGAGGATGATTAACGTGAGATGCGGCGCGTTTATCATTCCTGTACATTCCTAGCAAGGTATGCTCACATTACAATATGACACCCGATATGCCGGGACTGCTTGAGGACCTGGCTAGCTACCAATTATAGAAAGACCGTTGCTGAAATGGACGGCAGCACGATTGTAGTCACTTGCTACAACGCAGATACTACTGTAAGCGAGTCGCGCACCCTACCAACTTTCTCAGCCTATGTTGCCTCAAACTACAATGGCTTTATACGACAACATTCAATTGCCTTCAAATGAAGGAGTATTGAGCCATGTGCTTCCTCTACAGTGCCTTCCAGTCTGTATCAGCTTCTGCCAAACTAGTTCCTGCGAAGGTGTACTTCCACCAGACAAGAAAGTACCCACTACTCTCCTAATCAAGGATATCTATGAGATTTCGGTCCTTCACCATGATGTTCGCCGTAGACAAATCGCCGTGACTGAAAGTGTAGGGTTCTGCAGGTGGCATTTGCCCTCTGAATCGCAGACGAGCTTCTTTAGGTAGTTCCTTCAACACTGGTGCCAATTCTGCCCAAAGCTCATCGTCCGAAGAGAGTGGGTCACTATCGACATATTCTGTGACGACTGTAGGAACCGGAATAGTGATTTTCTCCCTCAAGTCTGTGAATTTTCATAAGATTGCTACACTGCCAAGCACAGATCTGTGAGCTCGATTGCCACAGTGCCAATTATGTCGCAAGTGAGAGCGTGAATGTTGATGTCGAACCACTACCCACTAGTCAGTGTCCCGTGCCGCTATTTTAGCACCATCCACGCGGCGATCACGTCATCATTTTTAGTAAAACTCCACGCTTCCCCACTCGCCACAACCTGTCTATTTCGCTATCGCCCGACGACGACCCGACAACCAAAGACTATGGAGTCCGTGCCGCCTGAAACAACCACTAAGAAGCAGCGCAAGCGACCACTAAACGGTACCGCGATGCCCGTTCCGTGACACACACACCGGCTAACGTGTCCCTGCAGCATGTGCTACCTGTCGCGCTAGGAAGGTAAGGTTCGTTTTTCCTAAGTGTTCGTCAAACGCATTCTTCAGCTTGTCGAAAGACCTTGTGACCTAGCAAGCCTTCTCCGACAACTAGAGTAACGCTTTGACGACGACCATGGAGGACGGGTAGCAGAACGCTTACATTACCTAGGTTAAATGTGATGAGCGTCCGAACGGCTGTCTCAACTGCGAACGCCTACAATTGAGTTGTGTACAGAATGGTGCTCTTTCCACGGCTGTCAAACGATCGAGTGCTTCCTTTGAACCAGCCGTGGGAATTAAACGAAAACGAACATTTCGATCGTGCGTGACTTGTCGTGACTCGAAGGTCAAATGTTCTGGAGAGCGACCGACGTGTTTAAGATGCCAACAGAGAAGAGCTGCCTGTGTCTATGATGCCGAAGCTATCGAGCCCGCCTGGGTGCAAAGTATCGCATCTCCAAATTCTGGAGTGGATCTCCATGCGATGATGTCTACACAGGCGACTCAAGAGCCTCAAGAAACGTATACATCAGCCCCTACAGGAATGGCCGTTGCGGGATGTCCGCCCTCTCTGACATGGTATGTACTCTGAGTTCCTTGTTCATATTATTGGTGCGTGACTCGATGTGCAACTCTAGTACTGCTATCTCTGCCTTATATGCGCCCTGGTGTTGTTCATTTTAAACACGAATGCACTCGAATTGAAGAGAACCAAGACTGACGATATCGACAAGGCTGTTCGCGGCGGAACTGCCTCCTAAGGCCAAGCTCCACATGTTATTAGACGCATACTTCAACAACGTCCATCCTATTCGAGTCTTTGCATTTGAGCATAAGCCTACATTCATCCGTATGCTCGATGAAGGCCAGCTTGTTGATTCATCTGATCAAGCACTGCTTCACGTTATGTGTGCACTAGGTGCTAGATTCTACGCCGTCGAATATAGCGAGTCTTTCGCTTCTCTTCCCAAAGATCTAATCCAATCCGCTGGAAACCAGTGGGCAAAAACTGCAGAAGAGATCTTCTTCGCGGATTATAGCACAATCTCCATGACAAAATTGAAAGTTCTCATCCTGCTACATGATCAAGAGGCTCGGACAGGGAATTACGCTGGATCCTTCCTCTTGACGGGACTTGTAATCCGAATGGCCCATGCATTGCAACTTAATAATGAAGCGTCGACAGATATCCTATGCAAGGTTGATGGATGTCCCAACGAGCTCACCATAAGAGAGTCTCGAAGGCGGCTCATGTGGGCGTGCTACATGCTCGATGTCTGGGCTGGCAGTGGTGTAGATCACCTTACGATCCTGAATGAGAAGGATCTCAAGATTCAATTGCCCTGTAATGAACGCCAGTTTTTGCTTCAAATTCCCTGCGTCACGGAGCGGCTTACGGAAGGAGACATTCTCGATTTCGTGCCTGCAGAAGACATTCCAGGGAAGCCGCGCGAGAATCTGGGTATGGCGGCATATTACGTCCGTATTGTCAGCATATGGCGGCGGGTTTTGCGGTGAGTCCATTTGGCCCAGTTATGTTCCATGCTAACGTCCCTTCTCATAGTTTTGTCAAGCACATGGACGAAGAACAACCGCCATGGTTGTCCGGCTCTGAGTTTGCTATACTCATTGGAGACATACAGTCGTGGAAACAAAGCTTGCCGTCGTGGTTAGATTTCTCTGCGGACAATATCTATATCCGACGTGAATCTCATCAGCTCGGTGCCTTACTGCTCATTCACTGCATGTACCACCACGTCATTTGCGACATTCATCGCATCGCTCTTCCGGAACTTTTCAAGAACCAAGAGCCTTTTGTTTTCCCACCAGAACAGCAATCGTTTGTAGCACACTTACAAACAGTATGCTTCGAACATGCACAGCGTATGTCTATTCTGGTTTCCACGATACTCCAACACGGCATCAAGCACTTCGCAGATCCTATATTGCCATCGTTTGTGTACAACAGCAGTCGGATCATGCTTTACTATATCGCCAGAATATTGGATATCTCCAAATCGGATGCAAGTACACTCATCAGTCGTACTGTCGAGCTAGTACAGCAAAACAACCGTGCACTACGGGATATGTCACTTATGTATCCACTCGCAGAGCCATTGTGTATCACCTCCGAGCGTTGGCTTGAGACGGTGCAAACAAGCCTCGCACGAGGCTACGCGACGACTTATGTCGCACCACAGGATCCTTCCGAAAATGAAGTGCAGCAGGTCGTTGGGGCACCTGCATCCAATATGGCTTCAACGACAGCTGTTTCACAAAATAATACACTATCAATTCTTCCACGATTCGGAGACCTACTTCGAGCAGCGTCGCCCACAAATAGTCAACTTACAACGAGCGACTACTCATTCTCAACGCCAATATCTGGCCAGTTCCCTTCCGGTGATCCAGCTCTACCAAATATTGTCGCCGAGACTCAGGAAGTTGGGGTAACCCTATATGCTTCCGCTGCTTCCAATATATCAGAGCAACCCGTGTTCAATCTCGATGATCTTCAGAACTTTTTTGAATGGGAAGCGAGTGGCGGAGAAAACGCTCAATCGACGGGCTTCGAAGGGTTTGGCCCGCTGGGGTGGGCGAACAACTTCTCTATCATGTGAGGATGGTTATTATTGAAACAAAGCGTAACAGGTGATCCTAGTCCGACGATCTTGTACAGCGAATTTTCAGTGTCAAATATCTCAAGGTGATGTTTTGTGATATCTGCAAAGTTGTTTCACAAAGGTGTTTAGTTTTGAATGTACAGTTTGAAGCAGTCAATTGTGAGACTGTCAAGGGAAAGGTGTGCGAGCTGAGAACTAAATAATCAATATGCGACGATGTTGACCTCGACATGATACTCAGTCAACGATCTACATCGGGTGACAAAATACAGAAGATTCTCGATTCAATGTGATGTGTTAAGGTTGTCTGGAAGCATTCAACACAATGAACATATTTAATCAAAGGCCGAAATAGCTACGCAGAATTATCACGGAACCGCTGATATAATGCCTATACTACTTCGACTCCTCCTCAAACACACCTGATGGACAACTCCAAAAGTATTCCCAGACACCCTTATGCACATCCGAAATCTTGGTTACGTGGTTCTTGTGGTACTGTCCCTCGCCAAGTGTTGAACTCAGCTCCTCTCCCAGCGTCAGCATATTCAGGCCGAACTGCGTGGCCTCTTCCAAAAGCACGAACGCCAGCGCCATTTCCTCGAGACGCCCGAGTATCTCAGCTTTCTTGCTTTCCTCCTCGATGTTCTCATCAGTGAGCGGGTCTATTCCTTCAAGCTTTTGCATCTCTGCGACCCTTTTCTTGATCATTTGATTTTTCTCTTGGGCCAGGCCAGCTACCGATGACTTCAGGTAGCTCAAGATGAAGTGCTTAGTTTCAGGTGCAAAGAACTTGAGGGCTTGCTTCCCGGTCTTTTGCACGAATGTTGCTTCGGGATTGACGCATTTCAGGATGGTGGTCCTTGCAAAGTGCAAGGCTAGAACGTTCAATTCAGGCATATCCGACTGTGTCATGAGAGGGCGAACCTGGTCGATGACCTTTTCCAAGGCTTGTTCAAGAGATTCCCTGCTTGGAAGAGACGCCTCGCGCTCGCTCTGGTCTTGAAGTCGTGCGATGATGTTCGCATGTGACTCGCGAGCGGCGTATCTCTCATCATCCGTAATCGATAGACGTATGAGCTTCTCTATGGAATGTCTCTGTTCGGGTTCGAAGGTGGCGCCGATAGCAAACCGAGAGTCCGTTTCGGGGAAGAGAACATGAAGCGGGTGTTCCGGTCGTTGTTGTGCAGCCTCCAACTTGTCACCGTAAAGTAGGTCCAATCTCGAAATGTTGGAGCTTATGAGCTTTTCCAGCTCGATCAACGTAGGTCTATGTCTCTTATCTTTCTTTGTCGGATCAAGAACCCCTCGGAACGCCAGACATTTACGAACGGCCTTGATAAGCGCTGAGCTATACACGCCAGGGTAGTTAGACCAGCTGAATTCGTACTCTGGAGTCTTTGGAAGGCCTTCCGCCTCGCCGGGAAACTTTGAACGCTCATAATTATGGAAAGCCTCGATCCTGGTATAGTTCCAAGCGGTTCCGTTGATACTGGATTGACAGCACATCATCATGAATCGCATGACAAGTCCGAGCCCATATATATCTGTCGATTGATCTAGTTTCCAATCTTTTGGAGTGTACCTCTTTTCATCCTTGTACATTGCGCATTGTTCTGGAGCCTGCCAGAAATTCGTGCCACCCCAACGGACGGACTTCGTCTCTGACTCTCGTGTGGGAAGATGTGAGCTTAGGCGGAGCGACGAGTCGAAGTCTGCCAAGACCGGAGTTCTGTAGGATGTATATGTTGGATCTGAGTCATTCAAGAGTATGTTCTTCGGTTTGATATCCAGGTGCAACATACTCCGCCATCCCTCCCTGTTTGGTCCAGTTTGTAGTGTGATAAGCGCTTCCACGAGCGACTTGAATACAAACCAGCAGAAATGCTCTGGGATAGGCCTATTGGTAGCGTTAGGAGCTGGGATACTTGAGGTTTCTAGATCATGTCACCTACCTTCCAGCGAGAGCATGGTTTTCGATCAGCTTATGTAAATCGCCGCCATGTGCAAAGGTTGAAAAGATCAATTGCTGCGTCCAAAGACTTGGGTCTCTATTCTCGGTGTGTGCAGCCAGGATATCAAAACGCATATCGAGTTCGATCTCACCTCGATATTGAAGGATATGCCGGGAGGCGAGATCGTGGAGCGCGTGGACAGCGGAGATCTCTCGTTGAGCTCTTGCTTTAGCAGCTAAGTCTTTGTCGAGAGACAAATCGACGATCTTCACAGCAACAGCCTGGTCGAAGTTAGTAGGACCAAAGAGTAGTTGTGTGGGAAACATACATCTTCGATGATGCTGTTGTCATCGAGTTTCACAAACAAAAACACAGACTTGGTCGGAAAGCCTTGTCGCGGTCTGAAGTCTGCAAGTACTAGGTCATTCTGACTCAGTGTTTTCGCGTATCGCCAGCCATCTCCCAGTGTCTGTTGGATGTATTCACGTTGCTCTCGGGTTGGAGCAAGGTAAAGTGATCGTGTCAAGTGTGCATCTTTATTCTTCCTTTTCTCGACTTCAATCTTCTTATCCGCTGTACTTAACTTATTCAGCTCGATCCCGGTGTACTCGAAATGATTGTGAAGAACAAACGGAGGTCGTCGTTCACCACCTACGTCAGGACGAAGACGCTTGGCGGGTGGTTCCCAGGGTGCGATGTTCGGGTCATCTCTATTCTCGTACCTTCTCTTAGCAGGCGACGTGACTGGCAAGTTCGCAGGTTGAGGTTCATCTTCAGGTCTCAAGGTTGGAGCTGGGTCGATGACGGTAGTACCAGACGCGACTGGTACAACCAGTATAGATGGGGGCGGTGGTGGTGGTGGTGGTGGTGGAGGAGTCGGAGGAAGCAGAGACACGGGTCCTGATGCTTGAGCTACAACCGCCGGTACTGTTCTGACGATTGTGGGGGCAGGATGCACTGCTTGCGCGAGACCTATCCAGTAGGCTCTACGTGATTTGTTCCATAGTGTGATCCGACCACGACCAGTACGGGGGCCTGTTTAGTATTAGTTGACTTACTCTTTGGAAGCAAGATCATCACCTACGCTTCTTTTTCGGATAGCGATCGCTCTCAATGCGCTCGAAATAGAGAACGAACGCGTGACATTCCGTGTCGTCCAAGACGTGATCGAAAAAGCTGCGGTCATGCCTGTCGATATGTGTATATACGAGCCGCGCTGATGTGGCCATGACGGGCTCGTTGCACGTATGTAGGATGACAATTATAAAGCTTGAAAAGATGTGTAGCAACAAAATATACCAGTATTAGAACTCTGCTGTAGCCAGAGTACAGAAGAAGTTCGATAGTTTCAAGAGAGTCACAGGAGTCAACTGTGTCGTTGCTTACCTTTGTAGTTGTTTCAGAGGCAATCGTTACTATTCAGACAATGAAATCACGGGGAACAATAAGGAAACTCTCTATTGTTCCTGCTGATTCTAATTGGTTTAATGTCAATCTCGGAGCTAGCCACATCAATCGCGATGATGAATGAGTTTGTTTGGTGAAAACGAGCAAGCACAGGTGAAAGGGAAAAACATGATAGCAGCCAGTAGGCCGCGCGGAAATGAGATATCCGTAACGTGATAGAAGTCGAGACTCGCCTTATCAGTCACATTTAAAGTGTATAAGACTTGCAAGATTGGATCAAGATAAATACCTATGTCACAGATGATGAACCCTTTCCACCACGTTGAAATTCAAACAGATCGAACTTGGTACTACGTGATGCTTAGTCGCAGTATGAACACGAGTAGATTCGAGACACAGGTACATGAACCGGGCTCCTACAACTCAAATATATCGTTGTAGTTTCAAAGTCTTGTCTCGGTCGTGCCCTAGAGTAGGGGCGCCGCAAAGTATAAAAACCAGCATACTCGTGCCACGACATCAGAGTATACCATTTAAGCCTAATTGCGCAGGAGGCTATCAAAAAGAAACAGCATTTGTCCCTAAGATATTTAACATAACTTGAACCAACCTTCGTTGAGGATAAAAAGATGGCGAGTCCTAGACCTCTGCTGGATCCCAGTCGTCATGAGCCTATAGGTTCGATTGGCGCACGCTACGAGAAGTTCGAAGGCAAGTGTCCTCCTGCATTTACTTTGCTTAAGTCTAGTTAGCTAACATCCGACAGAACGGCGGAGGGATCACGTTCCTCGGTTTCTGTTCCGCGCTTGGCATGCGCGGAGCGGTGGCGGACCGGATTTTGCAACGAACAGCACTTCAGAAATCGTTCCTCATGCATTTATGCCAGGAAAGCAACGTGATATCCCGACCTTCTATGAGGCACCAGAGACCATGCTCTATTGGAATGCCATAAATCATTATCACGGTAATGCGTGCTCCGATTCTGAATTTAGCTCTTGGGCGTCATCACTGCACCTGGTACTCTGTTATGCCACATACAAACTCAATAAAAAAGATCCTCACATTGCCATCATGGATACGCACAACTTGGATGGAAACATCCTAGTATGGCATGTACCAGACCTTATTGGGCAGAGAAACCATGAATATCTGGCATGGGGTCAAATATCAGGCAGAGGTTATAAGGCTGTCTCTTTGTACAATCTCCACCAGAAAGGATTGAAGAACGTCTTTCCTGAGCTTGAGTTATGCACGGATACTTGGGGAACAGCTCTTCGACACGAGATGTTTAGCAAACCACTAACTAAAATTTCAAGAGAAGAACTGGATGTTGTCCGTAACATTGCGTCGCCCTTTGGAGACCTTTCCTTACCCGTTGCAGTTGCTTTAGTTTGTATCCGGCCCAAGTCTCTTCTGACGAGCAAAATGGGAGGGCAGAATCGAAGTATATCGAACCTGATGGTGGGTCTGCGTATCACTAAACTACCTGTTGAATTCCAGAAACTTCACCAAGAGCGCTGGCTAGAGCCCGGTATGGTTGATACAAAAGGATTTTCAGATGTTGAGCAGTGGATCTGTTTGTTCGACAGAATTTTGAAGAGCAAGTATTTGGGGCAAATGGAGGCGAAGAATGAGCCCAATGACGAAGACGTCTGGGGAAATGGGAGATTGCGACCCCGGGATGTGAAAGGTCATGTAGTTAAAGAAACTTGAGAGTTCGGCATTGTCGCGGGTAGAGCGTAGGTAGTAACCATAACTTAAGCTTGTTCGTTCACCTGCCGCTCCTGATCTGTAGTTGGTCAGCGAATTTTGTCATGGTTAATTGACACACCATTTAGTCCTATATTACTCATACAAGTTATCGCTTATCATGCGATGAATACTTCAGATTCATCCAGCATGGTCTAGTTGTGTAGTGTCGGTTTGGACATACAATTACGCGCCTACCTGTCCGATGGTTCTTTGGAAAGCTCTGGCGCAAGATCGCATATGCAGGAACAAAATGGCGACAACATGCGCCTTCCTATCGATTTCGATATTTTCAAGAATATCCATAGCCTGGAGGAAAACGTTGAGTTTAACGAGATGGAGCATGAGGAATCCATGAACTGACGCGATGCGATCTGGCAAGCCAAGATGTATGACGTCACAGGGAGATACACGCTAAAGACGCGTAAAGTACACGCTACCATCAACATCTACTTACGCCCAAATCTTATGTCGCGAGCTGTCTCGATGCGTATCGAGTTGGACATGTTTAGCTCTAGGTCGCACTCACAGCCCTTGTTGCGAGATGCATGCGTCGGATCGAGTGCTGGACTTGCGACAAACCCCATAACAGACACTACGTGGATCAGTTGAATGCTTACTCACAGTCAACTTCACATGGTAATACAGCTAATTCCTAAGCAACAACCAATTCTAACTATCTCTGTCCCTGTTGCTAAGCTGTCCGTGTACTACAAAGTTGAGCACACCACATTTCGACGCAAGCTAAGACTTCAAAATCTTTGTATATGTTGGATACACAATGTTGAAGAGAACATCACTCAGCTCTTCCAGTACCTGGCTATCCAGTTGGTCGGACAGACTTTTGCTCATCTGTCCCCGTACAGATGTCCTCACGAATAACTCAATGTTTTCGTCGTTGCTCCAGACGGGATTCATGTATGGTTTATACATCTGCGTCGCCCGCGCCATATTTAATATGGTGATCGCGATTTCCTCGACACGCTTGATCCCTGGGAAGTCAATCAGCACGATACACTTCATGGCCGATCTAGATGGCCGCTCACCACAATTGCAAATGCTTCCCACTGGTAAAAGATTAGCTATGTGTTTCCAACATTGGCGCGAAGACATATTACCACTAGAGAAAGTCAGATTAGTGATCTTCCTCAGACGTAGAAACCCGATGTCGTCGAGAGAGAAGTCCGATGAAGGACCAAGGCCTGGGTTCAGTCGGTGTTGTATATCCTGCATGACCGTGAAATGTAGGAGGAGACCAAGGCATTCCGGACGCACAACATGGGTAGCTACACGAAGATTACTCGATTTGACATGATATCACCGGGATAAGTATCTTACCTTTGACAATCACATCTTCTGGTCCTTGCATGTTATCCATGGAAGCAAACTGTTCCTCAAATGTTTCTGGTGAGCTCAATGACATTACCCTGAGGGATTTGAGATATATCCAGAAACGACGGGTAGGAAGCTGGCAAAATATGTCTCTGAGATTGTCGCGTATTTTCTCTCTTATCGTTTCGCGAAAGCCTCGGGTACAGACATCGACTTTGATTCGCAAGAAACGCATCTTCTCAGCTTGATACATGTCTGTGATGAATGTTTCGCGAGTGCCTCCTACAAGGGTGAGACTTGAGTGGCACGGGAGTAAAGAGGCTCCACCTACCAAGCTTTTTGTAGGGTATCATAAACTCTGGAGGCTGCTGAGGAATATATTCGAGCATTTCTTTCTCTAGCTGATCCAGCGCCTCTTTCTTCAAGCACTCCTGCTCATTTACCCCGGGAACTTCCCTGTAAACCATATTCACGTCGATCCCGAAGTTTCTGACGATAGTCTCGAGTTTTCTCAAGTACACCAAACGCCCATCGGTGTCCTGGCGATAAATGTGCTTGCAGGACCGATCAGCGGGTAGCTCAAGATAGTGTTTTATGGATCTCATCAGGGATGGCGCAGACTTGTATGATATCGCCATTGTGCGATGTGCATTCTCAAGCATAACGTAGTTGATCCTGTGAACTTGGTCCGTATCTATCTTGCAGAACGGAAAAGTGAACCGGTGGTTTGAACGACGGGAACCATCTTCACCTGGCAAGAGCCGAATCCCTTGGGGAGTGATGCGAGAATACGAGTTCTGTGGCTTCCTAATGGGTAGATCTTCTAGTGTCGATATGGCGGTGGCAGGGTTGGAATGTTGACTACGGCTCATTTCATACATGTTTGTTCGCCATTCTTTGATGCTCTCACTACGATCTTCTTCCGCGTTGGGAAGTGTACAACTTCTCAAAATGAACATGAGCTTTGGAGTGATGGGACTGAATTCGTGGTATGATGTCCAACAAACAACATCGTACTCTCCCGTATTCGGATTCAGTGCGGTACTGTTTGGGCCTTCGTGAATATTGTAGCAGTTTTCCGTCAGGATAAACTCATCATTCGGATCTGACGGGGTGCAAAATGCGAGGAAATACCATTCCGTGTGCATTATAAACCACATCGCGTCGCTTGGGTAGATGTCTCTGAGCAATTGTTTCTGCCAACTCCCATCCAAATCCATCTCCAGATTGAGAATGGTCTTGATGCTCTGAAACCATACGTCAACTGGCTTTTGATATCCTTTCTCTTGCATGTATGCCTTGAACTTGTCTGTATCATCCTGCTTGTAATTGCCCGACTTGTCGCCATGGAAACGACGATAGAAGCCTGGCCCCCGATACTTCATTATGAACATGAACTTGCGTAGCATATCTCTTTCTGGGCGAGACATTGAGTAATCACCTTTTCCGGAACCAAGGGCGTCTCTGATTCCAGCTATGAGCACACTGACCCGCGACTCAAGTTTACCAATTTCCTTCTCCAGGTAGTTGAAGTCGGATACGTTCGAGAGGTCTTGATACATGTTTAACAGCCCAAAAGTGCGTTTGACCGGCGACTCGTTCAGTTGTGGCACCTTGCCTTCGAGGTCAAGAATATTTAGCACTGGACTACCTCTGTAAAGCTTGGTCTTCGTGTTCCGCGCTTTTCGCCCTGAAGTGGACCTGGAGTTGAGTTGCGGAGGAGCATATCTATGAGAGAAATTTTTGAGAATGAACTGTGGTATGAAGTGATGGTATTGTGTTTGGGAACCTTGAGTTGCGGCCATGATGAACAGGTAGATAGAGATAAGGCTGGAGGAATCGGTGCGAGGGTTTGGCCTGCTATGATAGAGTGCCTTGCAAAGGCCGAACCATACGTGATCATGAGGGGATGGGATCTAAATAGCTAAGAGGGGTAAGTAATAGTGTAGCCTAATCCATTTGCAAAGGTTGTTACTGTAGTGCAACACCTCTGCATAGGGGCGTTTATCATTCAGTCCCTATTGGCCAACATCGCGTTGGGGTGCCTCTCTCGGCGCTAATCGTACAAATGATAGACTGCAAATACGCGAAGGAGCGCTTCTCCAACGAGTCACCAGGCTGCTGTGCACACCACCAACTCCAAATGTATATACGAACCTACCGTTTACCTAAACATCGTCTCACCACCCCGCACCAAGCAGTGCAGTAGTAATTTCATGTGCTAGTAGAGTAAGAATACTGTTTCTGTGATCTTTCGGTCATGCATGAGTCTATCATTTGGCAAAATTCCACATTTAGCCCGTAATTCAAACGGATGAGGGTGTTGAACACGCAAAAGTCATCGACTACTCCTGCAGCGCGTTGATTGGATAGTACATACATTTCAACAGAGGTACGGATGTTCGATAGTTTTGATTAGGGTAAAGAGTCGTGTACTCAGATAAATGGAGAAACAAAAGTATCTCATCGAAATACATCGCCCCTATCTGGAATTTGACCACAATTTCCATCGTCACGAATCGATCTCTTCAAACATAGTCCATCCCCATCATCGAAAGCTCCAACCCAAAGCCGAAAGAATACCACATTTCTCTCATAAGGTGAAACAGTCCTATCCAAACACAGCAGCAATGGGCAACTATTTTGCATATTCAACAACTACAAACATACACCAAGACGCCACCCTACACCCACTCCAACACCAGACTATCCCAAAGCCATCCCCTCCAAAGTGTACTCCTCGTAACCGTAACATCCAACGTATTCACCCCATCTTTCAACCCCGCCGCCGAGACCGGAAACTCTAACAATCTCCACTCGCCCGACCTCGTCGCACCACGATACGTATCCTGGCTATTAGTCAAACTGGCACTTGTGACGTTCCCGACCTTCGCGCCGTTAAGCAAAAAGTCCGCACTACTCCCCTGCGAGAAGCCCGCAAGCGAAACGGTGAGTTTCGCAGCAGTGCCGTTGGATGACGAGTTAGCCGGGAGTGCGACGGGGAATACAACGCTCCATGTCCCGAGGGCAGACTGGCCGAAGCACCAATCTTCGTCGCTGGAAGATCCGACGGTGTAAGTCAAACTTGCAGGGCACTTTGCGATGCGTCCGTGTTCGAAAGGCGTAGGGCCGCTGAGCGCAAAGCCGTCTGTTTTGCGGTCGAAAGCACCAACTTGGAAGATACGCTTCTTCTGGCTGGTTACTTTCCAGACCGCGTCTTTAAGGTTGGTGCCCTTTGCGTTGCGGACGACGATGTCGTTTTGCGTGAAGTTCGTAGTCACGTCGGCGATGGCGCCGCCGTTGCCCCAGGCGTAGAGCCCGTAGGTTCCGGTGCGGACGGCGTCGATGGCGAAGCGGCCGTTTGCGTCGGCGTATGTGGTGTAGTAGTAGCCCTGGCCCTGGTCGAGGGTGGAGATGGTCGCGTTGTTGTTGTCGCCCAGGAAGACGGCTGCGCCTGCTGCGGGGCGTCCGTCGCTGAGAACAAGGCGGCCTTGAATTTTACCGCGGGATTGATAAGCGGTATCTTTGAACCATTTGTATGGCCACGCAGCATCTTCTTTCTGGGCGCGGGTTGTGGCGTCAGAGACGGAGCCGTCGTTTAGGTACCACAGCCATGGTCCCCAGGTCTTGCCGGGCGCAAATTCGTCACGGGATATGGCTTGGTAATGGGTGCCGTGGACCATGTTGAGTTGAACGGCATCTCCGGTTTTGGACTCGCGGTGGACCTAGGCCTGTCAGCTCTATGTTGATGGAGTTTGACGAATTAGGGGAACGTACCATGAGCTCCTGCTTGGTCTGATCACCGTTGAAGTAGTCTTTCCCAGGGTTCAAGTACCAACTTCCGACCTCGTTGCCATAAACGCCGTGGAAATCATTTTCCCTGACGTTAGCACTCCAGTCATACTTCGTCAAGTAGCTGCCATCTGCTTTCTGCCACGTCTCATCCTGCACATTGGTCGCATTGTTGTACTCGTCTAGAGACGGAAGGACCCCATCCTTGACATTGGTATGGCCGCGCGGGAATGAGGTATTATCAAGCCGCCACAGAGTGCGGAACTCGCCCAGTGTAGGAAGATCGCGGTTGACAAAGTACTGATACGCGCCAGCGAGATTATCGTAGATGACCCAGTGGAAATCTCCTTCGTTTGCCGTGAACTTGACGTTGATCCAATCGGTTCCCGATTCAACAATGGACGCGGATGACCAGCTAATGTCTGACGCAGCGCCATCTGTACTTATTGTCAGCCCAGATTGCCATTGAAACGATGGGCAGGGAACACATACTGTAGCTCACATAATGTCCGGCAGCCACCCCCACCCTATCCTTCCCCTTATACCACAGCTTCGTCCCATACTGCGCTCCCTGCGTAACATTCCAGATCTCGTTTCCCAAAATCCAAGTCTGATTCCCCGTCATCTGCAAAAAGCTCTTCGGCTTCTGCGCGCGCTCCTCCAGCGGGACCGCCGCAGCAAGCGCAGCAAGCCCAAATAAGCCTAAAGCATACATCTTAACAAATTGGAAGATTCAACCGCAGCCTATCTCTCAAGCATAATTCCAAGTCTGGGCAAACACATGGTAATATACATATTCCAAGATGGTTCTCAATCTCGGTCCTTCTTGCGCCGAACTTACTCGCGGCCAAATTTAGATTTCGCGGGGTAATGTAATAACTGGGGTTTACCCTGGAAATAACACCGCATGTATTGTTCCCTCAATCGGAGTATCGACGCCGGCCCGTTGGACTAGTTGTTTGGGCCAGGAACAGGGACATACTACAAGGCTTGTAGATTAAAGATCGATCCACGGACTCGCGCATGTTGTAAAGTTGGCGTGACTGGAAATCGCGACGGCTGCCTGCACTGAACGAGATTGGATTGCAATAAATCGTCCGGGGATAAACGGCCTCGGACATCATGGAGGATTTATCTGCTATTTTTGCGTCAGCGGACATGACGCTGTCATCTCGAAACACTCAAAGCGTCGTGTTGTAGCACCTGCCAAATGGAGACAACAACACGTGTGACCAAGGATCAACGAATCAAGAATCTAATATTGCAGAACGAAGAAACGACCGTAGGGTATTCAACTCCATAAAGCAAGACGCTCACAAGACACCAATTCGACGGGACATTCACCTCGCCTCCATAGCCTTCGCGTGCGCCTCCTTGGGTGTATGCGCCCCCGACCCCGACCCCGACCCCGACCCATCTACCTTCTCCCCCTCGACATAGTCCACGCTACGGGCACGTTTTACACCGCCCTTGCCCGTGATGTCTCTCCACATACCGCCAAAGTTCCTCTTCAAGCTCGCTCTTCCTTCCCAAAGCGGGTAGACACCCACCGCCATGCTCGAGCACAATAGCCAGATGATTCCCACGATAACCCAGCCTGAGAAGAATTTCTGGCTGAAGACATAACCCGTACCATAAAGGGGCATGGGCCAGAGGACCAGTAGGACGAGTGTGAGAACAGCGGTGGTGCTCTTGGCGATCTTGGACGCTCGGAGGAGTTTGGCTTGTTCGACGGCTTCGGCTTCCGGGGTGAGCCCCGTGTGTTGGTTAACGATAGCTTCAACGTCCATGTTTGAAGCGGCGGCTACATCCGAGTCGTCAACTAGACGGATAAGCTTCATGGAAACCCAGTCGTAGTTGTCTAACAAAGTGTTAGTATGGGACAGCGGAAGAGTGGAGAGAACCAGGTGACATACCAACTCCGAAGATGAGGGTTAGCACAGGGATGAAGATGGCGGGAGACAGCAGTGCGACAACATTTCCGGCCAACATGGGGTTGTTCGCGCCGGACGTTTCGACAGAGATTACGCCGTTATTGAGCTTCGAAGTAACCACCAACCAGGTTGTGATACTGCAGCAGAGACCAAGCACGGGACTCAAGGTTGCTGCCCAGAAGTTCTGACCCTTCCACAACAGGGTGAGGGTTGCTGGAAGAACAGCGCTTGAGATGATGACACCCATAAATACGTATAGCCAACCCATGCTAGTCAGTTGTTAGTCGAGTTAACAGCATATCGATAGAGGAGCTTACCTGATTCCAGCATAATGCAGACCAGTAGAGAAAGCAGCCATAACGACTCCAAAAAAGGCAACAGCAGAGTGCGAGATGTACACAAGACGCTTGCCGCTAGCTTTGGGGTTAACATATGTGCCGTAAATATCGTATGTCAAGATCGAAGAAACAGCAATCAGCTGGGCTGAGAAGGCGCTGGTGACAGCCATAAACACAATCAAAAGGGTGGCGACAGCGCCTCCAGATCCAAGAATAGCAGTTGCAGCATAGGGCAGCACAAGGCCTGCGCTGATAGATGCTTCATCCATAGGGTTGGGGTAGGTTGGGAAGGATGGGCTGCTTTGTAAGGCGAGAGCAGCAAGACCCATGGTCGTTGCGCAGAGCCACTGTTACGAGCATTAGTGATGGTAGACAAAGCTGATTTTGGACAAGACATACCGGAATGGCGAACCAGGAAAGCCCTCCTATGATGTATCCAGGTAGTGCGTGTACTGGCGAAGCAGCAATGGCCTTGTTGTAGTAACCATTGTCCATGAAGACGGTACCAAAGTTTCCGATGATGTTAATCACGAAGAAGATAGCGCCATCCTTACTTCTCATGGTCAGATAACTTCCCTCGGAATTTCCTGGCACAGGGCTATGCGCCGCAAGATCCACAAGACGATCATATACAGCCTTTGGTGATCCAAGCGCGCTGCCTGTAACGTAGGTCGTGAACGCAAAGACCAGGATGATGACAAGGAGAATGACCGTGTGCACGTAGTCCGTTAGGAAAGTGGCCTTGATGCCGCCGAACATGGTGTAGAAAACGACACCAATTGGGAGCAGGAAACAAGCTGCGGCTGTGGGGACACCGGTTAAGGACGTGATGACAGCCGAGCCGCCAGTCAGAAGCATAGCAGTGACCAGGATGTTGGTGAAAAGGCCGAACGTGATGTAGACCATATGTGTGGCGGTTCCATAGCGGGCTCGTACTGCTTCGAGGAAAGTCTGGAGATTTGTTAGTTTGAAATGGTATACTTAGTCGAGATACTCACATGAGCGTTTGGTGCCCTCCTTTTCAACTCAATTGCAACAGTCGCAAAGAGCAAAATCTGGACCGTTGCACCAGCAGCATACCAAAGTGGCCCAGAGACACCATATCGAAAGGCAATAGACGAACTCTGCAGCAGCGTAGCAGCCCAGGTCCATGAAGACACTACAGCACTAGCCACAAGACCCGACTTGACTGTTCGCCCTGCGGTTGAGAACATTTCCGAAGTCTGCAACTCATTGTTGTATCGTTTGAGGACCCACGTCGTGAGGATCTACATCAACATACATGTTAGTACACCTGTGCGAGAGACATAGCTGCTGACAAACATACCATGCCAAGCGCGAACAGAAACCCAATACCAAGCACGATGCCATAACCCCAACCCTGACTCAGAGGCGGAGCCGTTGCCATTGTGTTTGAGTGTCAATGAATTCAAAGCACAAGCTCAATTGTGCAGATCCAATGTAGCGGGATTGAGGTATCTATACTTCGATGTCCATCCCCACAGTCTCACCCATCTGGATGCAACATTTCGCTATCTCAACTCTACTCCAAATGCTCGCAACGTAACGATTGTATTCTACCGGTCGTCGCGCATGTTGATTGGCTGCAGATAGCCAGACGGTTTAAAGAGGAAACGCCCGACGAACATCGCACCCGCTCGTGGGCTGGATCGCTGCATCCTACGGTAGACTAGAAAGGTTGTGCTGTAAGCTGTGCATCCCTACAGGGTTGCTAAATGGCTGGACAGCTATAACTGCTTCGCTTATGCTGATAAGCTGCCATGGCGCCCTGGTTGCCGCGGGAGGAACATGTGGGTGGCGCGGAGCATTTCGGCGCACACGCCGTTGATTTGTTCTCCACACCCTGGCCGTTGTCTGATGGTTCAGCCCTGGGTATGGATATCGCTCGGATGTTGCAGAGCGACGGGGTTGGTGGTTCCAGTGAGGTAAGGTAGATAAGCGATGATACGTCTGGCCAATGAGAGTGACATCACGGCGGACTCCGGCATCGGCATTGTCTGTGTATCTCCACGGCTTCGTCAACGTGCATCTTGTACTCGATGCGTTCAACAAAGAGCAAACATGTGCACACGAGCAGCGGCAGGTACTACGGCATCTCAGATCCTCCCCCTCGCCCAGAATCGCAAGGGCACCTCTACCCATCTAGCCCTCAAGTACTCCGCACAATTCTTCCCCAAGAAATCCACACTCGTCGTGCAACTCACGCCCCGATCAAGATGGTCTTTGAGCAGAAAGTGCACAGCTCTCAGACCCGCAAACTCACATCTTTCTATCTTCCCGTCTTTGTACTCGTCTGCCAGCAACTTCTTCATGAAGTCCACAGATAGAAGGTTCTGAAGCCATGCGTACTCGTCCTGATGCCGGACCCAGAACCCAACATTGCAATCAGAGCCCTTGTCGCCAGAGCGCGCATGCACGATTGTGCCAAGCGGGGCATGCACAGTGGCGCCAAAGGTGCTCATTGGAACGTGTTTTGAAGTGGGATCTTGCATGGGCTGAGTTTTGGGGTATATCCTCGTTTCTATCGGTGGGGGGATGGCAATCGTCTCGCCCGGGGAAAGATGCACCTGATGTCTGACGTCCGACTGCGGGAGAAGCGTCACGTAGTACTCGAATACCTCTTTAGGAAGGGCCTGCCTGAGGTCGAGGTGCGGCGTTGCTCCCGGATACGCGCACATGATAGGATCGATACACGAGCGCGCAAACTTTGCCGGTGCCAGATCTTGTGCTTTTCGTGCTTGGGCGATTACGCGGAAGTCCACCGTCGCGGCGTTTTGGTTTGTGGGATTCTCTGCGCAGGACCCAATGGTTTGGAAAGAGAGCTTCGTGAAGTTGTGGACATGCAAGCCCATCTGTGTACGTATCTGCTGCTCGATCATGCGTGCCTTGGCGGAGATGTCAAGACCTGTCAAGAACCAGTGCATCTCTGCTTGGTACAATGGTTTGGCTGTGATGCCAACTTTCGTTGTTGGAGGAGGAAGTGCGCCCTTGACGCCTCGCAATGCTACGCGGTTCGTAGAGAGTTGCTCGAAGGAGATGTCGTCGAGAATCGCAGTGACATCCGAGTTGAAATACCACGGGCCCTGGATCTCGTACAGAAACTGCGAAGTGAGTGTGTTGACCGAGACCTCACCCCCAGAACCTAGATTCTTCGTGACAACGACGTCACCAGAATGTGAAATCTCGACAATGGGATACCCGATATTCGACCAACCCAGACATTCCAGATCTTTGAAGCCGGTATAGTTCCCGCCCGTGCTATACGACGAGCACTCTGACAGATGCCCAGCCACAAACGCGTTTGCAAGTTGGTCCAGATCTGTTCGTTGCCATTTATGCCACCAATATGCCGCCCCGATGACAGGACTCGCGTCAGACACTCTCCCACATACGACGATATCCGCGCCCCGGTCCAACGCCTGCGCAATGCCTAGTCCCCCGAGATAAGCCTGCGCGTACATAGGCTCGAATTGCCAATCGCCCAGCTTATCACCTGTGCATATATTTTCGAACGGTGAGTCGCCACGTTTCTGCGCCTCGAGTAGCTGTGGCAAGACTTCGTCTCCGGAAATCCACGCAACACTCAGGTCCAGTCCTTTCGCCTGTACCATCTTCGTAACCACTTCGTGCAGTCTTTTCGTGTCCGACGCACCCGCATTGACAGCAATTTTGATGCGGTATTTAGCAATATACGGCAGTGCAGGCTCGAGGGCTTCAAGAAACGAAGGCTCATATGCGGCGATTTGGCCTACGCAAATCAGTACGCTGAATTTCACAGTAAAGGTTGAAGGACATATACCATTGTTCTTTGTATTCGCTCTTGCCGTCATATTCCCCTCGCTCATCCAGTCACCGACCAGCACATCGATTGGATCATCCTCATAGTTGGAAGCCAGCATCTTCATCGCATCGCGACGGTCGGTTGTGGAGCCTGAGCATCCTATGGAGAAATATTAGCTCATGGAGATACCGGGAAGTTGAGTAATGTCAACACATACCAGCAATTCGGATACCGCGTTGCTGTGCCATTGTGTGTGTTCATAAAGGTTGCAGAAATTGTGTGATAGCTTGGGCTTTCTCGAATCTAGGTTGAGAGAAGAGCACATCTTGAAGCTCTTCAGCTTCAGAATAATGGATGACATACATCGTGGGACCTCGGGAACATGCGTCGAGTTTGGGATGCTGTGGAGTCGGCGTGTGCATGTCAGCTCGCGCCTGTCCCCTCCCGAGACGCGGGGAAGGTACGCTAGTGCCCTTATATATTGGAGCGCATATGCGTGGAAGAAACGCGACCAGGCTTCAACAAGTATGGAGAGATCTGATGAGATTCACGTAGGGCAAGTACGAAGACATAGCAGCTCAAGAATAGTCAGTTGTGGTATGATGTTGTCATTAAACCATTAGCATTAAAATCTTGTTTTTGCGATGTTTGTATGCAATACTAATATCGTCCTCTCTTATCCCATCCAGGGTCTGGCACATTAGACTGCACTTGTGCTAGGTTGTCGCTGAACTCTCTCCCTTACGGCACCTGATCCTTGGTGGTACTCGTTCTCTCCTGGGACGACAGATGAGTTGCCTTTATTTGCAATTGAGTTTTGCCTAGAACCTTGGATACCAGGCAATGCGCTGACCCTGCGGCCGCCAGTCTCCTCTCTCGCAGCGCCTAGCTGTTGGGCAAACGGACTCCTTTTCCTCAGCACCGGTCCCTTCCAGTAAATGACGTATACGGAAACGACTAAAAGCAGCGATATGCAGAAAAGAATTGTTGAAGCGTAGGCCAAATGCTTCTCACCTCCGATGTTCGAGTAGAACGGCACAGCAGGTAGAGTGAGGACGCCGGCGAGAAAGTCACGCGCCCAGCCATTTCCACCAGTCGCGGAAGCCGAGTAAGGACCGTAGGCACAGATCATGTAGTCGATGGTTGCCATGTAAATGGCGTAGTTGGCGATGCCAATGATCGCGGAGCCGATCATGGTTCCTACCCAGTGGATAGGCGGGCCGGTCGATGTCCACGCAAAAATGAGCAGACCAATGGGTAAGCACGGCGCGGTAAAGAGCAACCACCACAGTCTCGACTCATATTGCGCATGCTCGTCTCCAGGGTGCTCGCGTCGAAGCCTCTGATTGCGCTTGATAGCTGGGAAGAAAGAGATCCACGCCAAAACGTATCCGATGCCTATAGCTATGAAAGCTAGTCCAATAGCGAGGGCCGAGAACTTCCACTGGTCGTATACAAGGGCATATGACTGGAGGAACATGAAAATGATAGCGTCGGAAAATCCAGAGAGCAGGGAGAGCACCAGCACAATAGGCTCGGTCAAGAACATGCGGAATGGTCGTGCCCAGGTAGTCAGGATCTCTCTCGCGCTGAAACGCTCTTTGAACGTCTTGAGCTCGTTAGGTCCCCAGACGTTGACATGCTTGCCGATCTGTTCACCTTCCTGGCGGCGTTTCTTCGCGATGCGGTCCATCAAAACAGTCGTACGGGTCTCGGGGACTATGGCGGCGTGGAGAAGTTGCACAGCTCCCCCGAAAATCAGCTGGATCCAGATGGCCCAGCGCCAGGCGAGGAACTGCTCGACGAAACCACCCACGATGGGACCTAAAACCGAACCGCCGACTGACGAAAAGACGATGAAGGCCTGATTGCTGTTAGTATTGAGACATGGTTCGAACATGGATAGAACGTACGACAGCAAATTGCTGATTGTCTGGCTCCCACATATCCGCCACCATGGCTAGCGTGACCGAGCCACCCGCGGTCGATAGACCGCCCAGAGCGCGAAAGACGATAATTGTCGCAAAGTTGGGCGCAATCGCAACGGGAATTTGCCAGATATTCACAAAGAGCAGACTGAGCTGCAAGACCGGCCACCTGCCCAGCTCTTCCGACCAAGGCGCCCAAAGCTCACATCCAAACGCATACGTGATCAAGAAGACGGCCGCACCGACTCTCGCAGCCTGTGTACTAACACCAAATTCTTCCGATATACCGCTAAGCGCGTTGCTGTACAGCGAGGTGTTGAAGTTCATGGACACCTGGACGAGGAAGATGATGGTGAGAATGGTCCACTTTTTCCACGTGGGGAACGAGAAGCCGAGTTCATCGTAGCAGTCTTCCTCTGTGATTTCGTAGCGGTCGTCGTTTGCGCGGGTTTCGCGGTGTTGTCCATGTGTAGGAGCGTCGAAGCTGGCCGACTTCTTCTCTTGGTCGGCTTCTGTGGCGTGGACCGTGTCGGCGTCGTGAATTTGGGGGTGTATGATGGCCATGGTGCTCCGTGGGGTGTTGGATCACCAAAAACGTCGAAGGAGCAAAACGCGGAGAGGCCGGCGAGGGACTGTGGGGATTGTGCACGAGGGCGGTTCCCATAAACTTTATAAACCCACAACGCTCCATGATTTCTTGAATCATCGACGACCTGTGCGCAGCTCCCCAGGTGCTCGACGTCATCACACAGACTCGTGCTTACGGGGAATGAAGCTAGAAATGAATCGTGGGGTGCAGAGTTCCTTCGACTAGCCTCTCACACGAGCGACAGGCGTTGGGAAATATGGGTCGTGAGATCGAGACAAGCATAGTGTATATGCAGGTTGCAGGCGAGGCTCTACGTCATATTTAGCAGCCTCCTCCGCAGAGTGAGCAGGTGCTATCTACTCAAGTTAAGCAGCAGCGAGGTTTGGTGCAAAACAACACAATCTCACCCTCAAAACGTTGAGTTACACAAGCGCCTACAAGACCCCCAAGATTCGCGCTCATGTCGAAGCTTCATTCTAGTTGCTCATAAGCTCTGCTCATGTTGCATGCCAAGTCGCGCCTGAGATCTTAGTTGGCGTATTGTGACGTCACTCACTCACGGCACGGCGCGAACATCCGGAGCAGACATCCGAGTCTCACATGTGTTTGGCTGCGCATCTGGCGCGATGTTACGATGTTTTGGCAGGCGCCTGACGGGGCGTGCGCGTTGTTCGTGATGGTGGATCTTACGAGGTGGACTCGAAATGATGCAATATTGTGTAAGCGATGTTGACTTAGGGAAATGCTTTGTGAGTCTTCTCGTGAACATTGTGGATACGACTGCATTCGTTATGGTGGGTACTTTCATTGTTATGTTACAGCTGGTTTCTATGTAAAATTGCTCTTCGGACGTGGTCGTTAACCAACAACTGATTGTCTTTTTCGTGTCAACGTCCCTGTGTCGTGGGTGATGGTTATACCAGTTCATTCCACGTGTCCATAATCTTGCTGTGATTGCCTACACCATATCTATTAGTATATGGTCTCCACATGCAAATCTCGCTGATGAACTCTGGCGAACTGCTCCTTCATCCATTCGGCCATACAGTCTACCATATGCCCGTAAGATTCAGAAGCCTCGTCCCAAGCCTCTCCAATCCCCAGAGTAACGCTGATAAGACTACCACAATTCATGAGACGTCTGAGGTCGCAACCATCCACCATCTCATCCAAAGTCCTTGAAGGCTCTATGTCGGGCTTCCACCACCTTTTCTCATTTGATGGGTCGATGATGAAGAATGACTCAGCGTAAAGCAGGAGATCGAGTTCCCGCAATCCATTGCATCGTAGCACTAGCTCGGTCGGCATCACGACAGGGAAACCTCGGTTGGGAGCAAAGTGAATCTTTTTCACCGCTGCGAAGCCAGAATCATTCGGTACAGTCTCGAGAAAGTTGAAGAGATAACCAATGGACCTTTCGTCTGTGATGTAGATAGTCTCACCCGAAAGGAAGACTGGCAGTACTTCCTCTAGAAGACCTATCGCTATCTTGCAGATGTCAGGTAGAAAAGATGGTAATACCCAATGAGTAAAGTCTTCATCAGGAATCCAGACATATCCAAATGGAGAAGAGAACTCATAGATCATCTTTCGTATCTCGACAGGCAACCTATCGAGCGGAGACGCAACGTACGTGATCAGACCAAAGATCTTGCCATCTTTCTCGAGGCCGGGAGGAGGTATGGACTGCATCGCTGACATACTTTCTCGCGGTTGATCAGTCTTAGGCTGCCGTGTGCCGTGTCGGACTACGCTACTCCATGAGCGGGCCAAATTGGGTGGCACGCTCAGGATGGTATTCTTCGACGATGATAGGGCGGGGAAGTCGCGAATATCTCGAGGGCGCATGAAGTGAGTAGGATAGCAACTTGACTCATGGACGCGTGGGTCTTCATCATAAGGGATGATAGAGATACCCATGATGAGAGGCAGGGTCGAACCAGATTTGGAAGTCGGGATGGGAGTGTTGTTTTGATCAATGAGATAAATATTCCAGTGGATGGTTGGGTGGTTGAAATGGTTCACATATGAGGTTTGGATTCTTATCGTGTGAGCAGCGAAGCTAAATAGTACCAGAACGCATTGGCCTGGCCCCGAAGAGTCGCCCTGGGAGATCACGGCTTCCAGGAACTGTTCACACGGAGCTATGCTACAACTAGAAACGCAATGCCTCCAAGCTCCTGCACTTCACACAATCGTCAAATTCGTGACATACTCTGTGGGCTCCTACTGTATCTTTAGGTACTGGCAAGGCATCCGCTTCGAGAACATTGTAAGGTAGTGATGTGCAGGCGCTGTGGTTTCATATGATTCTACTCACAATTGTACGCCTTAATTTCCCCGGTCCGCGGTTGTGGCGTTTTGGGATCTATGTCAAGTGAGAAGACCTACTCGACCAGCTCTCACCAAACAGAATCGTTTTGATATGATAAGACTGTTACAACTTTCCCTCCAGCCTGAGCTCCATTGGCAAAGGGAAAAATGCTTGTAGGGGAAAATCAAAAGCTGGTTTCTATGATGATCATTCGGGATGAAAGTCCAGTTCTGACTTGAGTATCTCGCCTGCTCAACTCGTCCTAGCCACACCAACATCCCTACCCTCATCTAACTCTTTTTTGCATACATGTCTTATGAAACGCTCTAGCGAACTTTGACACTAGATTTAAGCTCAGTTCGACCAAGACTAGACATCTACCTTAGACATAAGTCACAAGTATGATAACGGAGGTGCGAACAAAAGTTCTCCCTTCACAAAGGCTGCCCGAAAACCACGTCTGAAGTACTTCCTTAGCATTTCTTAAAGGAACCAACAAGTCTGTACCGAGCTCACATCACTACTCATCGAGAACTCAGTTCGACATGGAGTCTCTCAAGTTTCTTTCTTGGAACATTTGTACTTTTCCAGAGCGTGGTGGCCAATCGAACAGATACTACTTATCGGATAATAACTGCCTGGCAATAGTATGGAGAGGAACATGACACTCTGGTGACTTATTTGGGTCAGTCGTCGAAGCATCGTGACTGTATCTCGTGTACCTTATGTTGTTTGTTGTCAGGCTACCTAAGAATAAAGCATGCTGGCCACGAAGAAAGAGAATAATAAACCTCCTAGTATACTTGCCCATATCCTATAATACCCCAATGTCAATCCGCGTAATCCGTTACTGTCGCAAATCTATCATCGCTCAATTCGTTCGACTTCCAGAGCAAACCTATGCCTGCTTTCACTGTGGCTGCCCGCCGCACGTGCCATAGACCTGTCGCTATAAAAGCTTTGCTCTTTGCGACTCCCGAGTTTTCTTTTTTTCTCTATCACAACCAACTTGCTCAACTTGGTCAACCCCACCTCAGGTTTTCCGACTACATCCAGCTCACTCACGGCCTGCTCAAACTGCCTTCCACTGCTTACCGATTACATCCCCTTGATACATTCACCTTTTGTCAACATAGTTGGTATTATGAACTCCAACAGAAACAATGGTGACTCCAGTGCGCCTTCGTGTGGCAGAGGTTAGTATCTCCTGGGCTCTATATACTGCGCGACTCTTCACTAATAAAACATGGTAGGATCCCTCAACGTTGTTATGCATGCCCCCAGTGCCGCTATCCAGGCTCTCATAGCCATCGGTAAGCCATTTCAACCACCCTTCCACCTCTCCAAGCCCCATCGTAGTCACCAAACCCACAAACTAACACCCCCATCTCCCCAGGCCCCACCACGGTATCCCTCACAACAGAGCGCTGCCTCCCGAACGCCTCACCCCACCACCCTTCCTTCCTGCGTAACATCTCGCTCGACACCGTCTCCCCATCCGAATGGAACACCCACGTGCTCCCCTACATCTCTACATTGACCTTCGACATCGCCTGCAACCCCGACGTCCACTACCTAAGCCGCATCCTCACTTCTCCACAGCTCCCACGATTGCACACTGCGATAACCACCCTCTCCCTCTCAGGCCACCACTGGTTCTCCGGTGTCATGCTAAACCGCCACAACAACCCGTACCTCACCACTGCCGCCATGCTGCCCAACTTGCAGGACCTGACGTTCACTATGCATACCGCGGGTGTCACAACGTCGGTGTACGGCGAGCGGCGCATGGTGGAGATTGAGAGGACAGATCCGGTGGAATCTAGGGCGCGTAGGACGTTGCGTGTGGAGAACGTAGTGCAGCGGTATGGAATCGATGCGGTGTTTGCGTGTGCGGCATTGAGGAAGGTTCGTGTTGATTACGTGGAGAGTGAGTTGACGTTGGAGCATTGTCGCCATGGGGATCCGTATGGTGTCATCGTGGAACTGCAGGCGTATCTGGTTAGTGGCTTTGCGCAGAGGGGTAGGACGGTGCGCGTGGATGTTCGTCGGGCTTGATGGGGGTGGTGGAGTACTGTGAGATGTAAGATTGTGGAATGGAAATGTGTTGAAGACTAGGCGCGAATTTCATAATCGCTTGAGAGTCTCCAAATTATGGTGTCTGATTCCATATGGGTAGTCAGTCGAAAGCGACACAAGGCAGTGCAAGCTACTATCTATAATTGACGAGATTCTTCGTGTGAGGTTGTTACATTGAATTCCTAATCCATAAGCCAATATGTTTGCAGGATGGTGAGTCACCAGCAACAACATCGCAGATGGGGTGTTTCAATCACATCAGACAACCACACCACGATAGACCATACATGTGAAATTGATACTCAGATACTACGATGTGATGCCGGCCATATGCTGCGCAATGAAACCTAGCTAGCGGACCAGAAGAAAGGAAACCCCATAACTAACCTCGTACCAAAGGAAATTCCAAAGCGACCCATACTATCCAACCATCGCGAAAACTACTAAAGGAAACAAGTCATCAAAGTATCCAGCACTGAGCTCCCCTCGTATGTATACCCAGCACCACATACTCACTAGTCTAGCGACACTCACAAACACATGGCCCTGTCAAAGAAACGCTGGGGTATCCTCCCTGACCAGTAGCAAGTTCCCTCTCATGCCCTTCTTCCCGCTCCCGCTCCCCTCGATTGCAGTAATACTTTTCCTCTCCCTCAGAAACTTGTCCGCCATGCGTTGTCCAGGTGTTGTCTCACGTTCATCGAGAACACCTCCAGTTGCTTGACCTTCGGCTTCATGGCTTGGTTCCTCAATTGATCTTAACGTACCCGACGAGATCTTGAGATGGAGTGCTGGCCGTCGAAGCTCAGAGGTTGGACGCGGCAAGAGCGTATGTGCGCCGCGAAGGTCGAAAGCACTCTTGGGGCGACGGGCGAGCTTTTCAGGAGATATGGGGCGCAGTGTAGCACGTACACGAGGACGAGCAGGTGATGTAGCCGGGAAGTCGGGGTTATAATCGAGGTTTTCGCTCTCAGCTAGATTGGTGGTGTATTGACCACCGTTCGGCGTGTTCGGTCTCAGCGAATTAAAGGAAAGAGGCTGCAAAGACTTGGGGCGCAAGTTCAAACCTAACGGAGAGGTGTTGGGTCTCTTGCCTCCATGGACGGAAGATGGCGTGACATTCTCCTTGCTTTTAGGATGACCATCACTCCTTCCAGTCGTCGTGTTTGTCGCCCGTTGCGTCGTGGGATGCGTGGACGGAACAAAGAGATCTGAGTAGACCTTGGGACTGGGCGTTGCTTTCGTCGAGTTTGGCGATGGTATAACGCTATCAGGAGATGGTTTTGAATTACGCGAGAGCTTGGTACTATTACTGCTGGATCGTCGACTAGTCTCGATGAACGGGAATCGATCGTTCATGCGCGATGACCTAGGAGTTTCGATCTGCAGTTGAGAACCAGACGACGATTGACTGGGAGTAGATGGCGTGGGCTTTCTTCGCAAGACCGGGGTTGAATCAGGTCTTGCAGGACGTCTATGTTCTTGACCGCTCCCAGTCGTGGTCGGAGTGTGACCCGTGGATAGTTCTTTGACAGTGTCTGGATGCGGATCAGATGCAGATGATGTTGCAACTGCGGAGATCTGATGTTGCTGCTTGGAGTCGACCCTTGTTATACGTTCTCCCACAGCTCCAACGGTATCGCCTTCGATTGAAGCCTCCAAGTCTGCTCGAGGTGTTGACATATCCAAAGATTCCCGCACGATCACGGTCGTATCTTCTTCATCAGTGTGTATGGTCTGCGTAGTTCGTTTCGAGTTGCGCTGATGTCTACCTGATGGCGTCGTGTACGACTCACGAATCCTCAGCTCTTCTTGACTGGTCGTTTCCATTCCTGAGACTTCATGTGAAAGCCAAGCCTTCCAATCACGGCTGGATCTTGTCGAACTTCGGCGACGAGGAGAGGGCGTGCCAATCACGTAACTTCGCACTGATTGACTCGTTAGGATAACAGCTGAACCTCCGTCATGTTGGCGTTGGAGTCCATCAGTTCCCTGGAAAGACATGACGCTGTCATTTGGCAGTATGCTAACACCATCCGTGTTTCGTGAATACACACTGGGAGACAAAGGTGACATCACTGGGTGTGGCGCGGGCGACGTTGGGAACTTGAACAACTCATGGTCATGGACGTGATCCGTGCTGTACACCTTTTCCCGCTGCGTGAAGTTGGTCACTGTATAATTTCGATTCGTCTCGCGTGGAAGGTCGGGCTCCTCAGTCTCGTCAAGTGGTGTCTTCCACCGACTTTTGGCCCTTTCTACGCGCCTCTCAATCTGTTCGGCTGAAGGCGTGGCGACGTGAGTACGATAGTCCGGCGTAGCTCCGCGGCTTCTAACTCAGGTTAGCAAGATGATAAATGAGTGATAACGGACAAGGATACTAACCCCTCAGGATCATCAACAGATCCAAGTGTCATGTCCTGATTGTCATGGCTGCCAGACTCGAATGTAGCTGTTGAGTCAGGGCTCTCATCCTCATCTCGCACACTAGCATTGTGATCCGGACATGGCGTAGCACGATGCTGCGTCGGCGTCACAGTGCGTATCGTAGACCTGATCGCCCGTCCAAGTGACTTGATAGAACTAGCCTTGCTCTGGACGCTTTGCGCTGCTGCGCTGGCTGGTCGCCGCGATGGTGGTCTCTGCTCACTGCTCACACTCGGTCTGAAGTCTCTACTAGCACTAGAGTGGATCTCTCTACCAGTGCAATGTAACTCTTTCGTTTTGCTTGACTCGAAGATGTCGCTATCTGCTCCTGGGGTTCGTTCTGCGAAATTGGCTTGAGCCTGTGTTGACTTTGACGAATTGATCTCCTTCATCAGCGCAGAAAACACACGCTTAGGGTTGATAGACGGCGTAGAAGCCTCCTCAGTCAAGCTCTCCAAAGCCATAGGATCACGAAAGGCGGTCAGTGATGGAAATGGCAGCGACTTTCTCTTCAGTGACGCAGTCGCAACACGCTCGCCCTCACTTCCAATGCTGTCCTTGGATTCGTGAATGACTGTCAGGCGCTTTATGGCGTGCTGCGTTAGCGTGTCTCCGGCAGACGACGAACCCCAGCTCGTCACACGCGATCCAGATGTAAGTGTGACATGAGCCTCGCTGTGAAGACTACGATTACTTCGGGCACTTCCGTTGCTGCTGCTACGTGATCCAGATGCGATGAAAGCAGGAGGCGCACCTTCGAGCGACGGCGTTCGTGATCTCGCTCGTAGCAGTGTTTCCTCATCTGGACTTGGAACCTCGAGACTCAAGTGCAGGTTGGACGGGCTAACATGGGTAATGCCAAGGTGGTTGCGATTAGCCTCTACCTGCTGTGGAGGAAGGATAGTAGTCTTGTTTGACGTGCGTCGAAACACCTTCTTGAATCTACTCTTCAAGGACCCAGAAAACGAGCGCCTTTCTTTTGGCTCCGGCTGCGGCTCGAAGTCATCGGTGGTTATATCGGCAGTTGACTCCTCGTACACTTGATGACTGACTGCAGAGACAGAAATCATGCCGGAGGTAGGGTGTTTGCCCTTTTCTTTCGTCTTTTCTTGACGCTTTTTGAAGGGCGCCAGAAATATCGACGGCTTGTGTTTGATCGAACGTTGTTGAAAGCCTTGTAAAACCTTGTCTCGCGCCTGGTCCACTGTCTCATCAGGTGCAATAGCAGTGGGTGGACGAAGACCTGCGAGTGGAGACGGCCGCATTGTTCGATTGGGGGGAAGGACTGACGAGATGTTGACAGAAGGGCTGACGTCGATAGAGGGCGGTGTCGTAAGATACTTAGCGGGCGGTCGAGAAATGGGTGATCCCGTCTGGATGCTGCTCGCATAATACATGGAGCGAGCCTTCCGTATCTGTTGCGAAGTGACTGACGATGAAGCGCTCAGGCGATGAGGCTTCGGTTGAGAACTTGGTCGTCCATTCTCGTTAAAAGAAATCGATGGCTGTGCTGATAATGGCCTAGGGGCCGATATGGGCATTTCTGGCATGGGATAGAAGGGCGGAAATTGCTCTGTAGTCATTGTAGGTGCTCGGGAATGACGTTGGGTAGTGGGCGGTTGCCCTGTCTTCTGGACATTCAGAGATCGAAAACTAGACTCTCGTTGGGGAAAGTGGCTGCCCTGAGAAGTGAGTGACTTGCGGCTGGCGTTGCTCTTGGACCTCGACATGTCAGAGCTGCGCTTGTTGTTTCGTTCAAGCGCGTCCTGAGCCTGGGCTCGAGCGAAGGCGGCGGTAGCAGCAGCCAGAGCATCTTTGCGAGCCGCGTCCAGGTCAAGAGGCTCTGAGATTGGAGGCGGGTGTCGATGGACAGTCGAGGTAGACTTGGAGCGACGAAGACGAGTGCCGGCGTCACTGGATGCTCGGGCCAGCATTTGGAAGACAGGATAAGAAAGTGAACGCTGAAGTAGAGCGGTAAGACGGTGGTTCCAACGTGGCAAAAGCCTGTTTATAGAGTTGTTGACAAGAGGTAGCAGAAACAGTCTAAGAGCACGACAAAAGCGCGTGGTGGGAGAAGAGACACATACAAACAAATGAGAGGAAAGTCGGAGTAGTCCCTGTATTGAAAGAGTGATTGCGCCATGTGTTGCGCCTACGTTGTTTGAGATCGAGTAGTTACACTCGTGCTAGTGTCGCGCAAGGAAGGTGCACAAGAGCACCTCACAAATTGACAACATGAGAAAAGGATCAGTAAAAGCCTACCTACCCAGACGGCGATAGAATAGCCTGTCGGTCCTGCAACGACAACAGGTTCAGGCTGGGCGACACGGCCTCAATTTATCGCATTCCATATACGAAGAAGCTCGGATCTTCTCAAGCCACAACACCAGCCAGGTTCGACGCAGACCGTGCCTTCAGGTAACACGAGCCCCTTCGTATGCATCTGATGAATGCGATCGTATCTCAAGGCGCGCGTCAAGACTGCCCTACTCGTCCATCGCCGAGCTTCTGCTCTCTTCATCTTCATCATCCTCATCTTCGTTCCGCACCTCAACGTAGACCGCACCCTTATCCTTCGCCGCAATTGCAAATGTCAAAACCGTGACACCAGCAAACGCGAGCATGGCGACGAAAAATGGTAATCCCAACCACACACCGTCCAAATCCCCGCCCCATTGCAGCAGCTGGTTCAGCAGCGGCACCGCAATCATCGCCCCAACGCTCTCCACGACAGCAATCGTGCACATTAATTTTCCGATATCAGTACTTGCTTGCCCACCAGCAATGTGGATAGCAATGGAACGCATAGCAGAAGTATACCCAGTGCCCAGATTGAAGATCAGCATGCCCAGAATAAGCATAGCCAAATGTGTAGCGATGCCCATGATCAAAAAGGAAATAGTAGTCAGCACAATAGAGACTCGTGCTATCCAGACATCCGCACTGTGTACGGAGAGACGGAGATACTTGAGCAAAGATAGATAGACAATCGGGATTAAGGCGGCAACAGCGACAAAATAGGTATCAGTACGGAACGATAGGAGATACGATATGTCCATCATACTCAATCTGTAGCGCATCAAGGCGTAGATCACGATGAGATTCATGCCTTGCCCTCCCAGGCTGTTGATCATAAACGTGAAAATGACCATAGCAAGGGTCCGGTCGCTTTTGAAGAAACGGACGGTGCTGTGGAAGTTCTGGATCTGGTCTTCAAGTTTTAATCCATGCCCCTGGATCTGCGGTTCGATGGCTTGGTCGTCGCGATCTTCGGGCTCTGACAGGTCGCGGTAACGCAGGGTTTCTGGGGAAATGACTGTGACGAGGACGCCAACCTGCTGTATCGCTAACGATATCAGGAGAGGCAGCCAACTGCCTGTCACGACAAGTTGTAATGCTAGCATCGCTGCTATCGTCTCAGCGACCAAAACCGATGCCGTCTGGTAGAGGAACATAATGGTCCGTTTCTCAGGCGGCACAATATCCGAGAGCATTGTGATGGCAAGGGCCATCGCAGTGATGGGACCGCCACCGATGAGGTAGAAGACGGAAGAGAGCCACGTGAGTTGTAGTGGGAGACGCGTGAAGTAGCCTCGTCAGCGTCAGTATGTAGATTCTTCCCATCGCGTCACTGAATTGCTCACATATGATCAGAACCCAAGCGGCCTTTAGCTGCAAGCCCACCAAGCTTGCCGTGAGTATCCTCTTCCTACCCACCCGGTCAGCCAGTGCCCCAAACGGCACAGCCAGCAGTATCCCCAGTATCGTATCGAACTTGTTTTGCCAGCCAACGATGATGGTCAACTTCTGCTGCACCACATCCAATTTGCATAACGTCTCCGGCACGTTTCCGTCCGAATCAATCTTAGATGGATCATTCTCGCGGTAGTAGTTGAGGCAGATGTTGGCTTCATAGAGACGTGTTCTAGGTATCTCGCCGAGAAATTTACCTACGTCAATAATGCTGATAACGAGGAAGATGGAGACGGCCAACCATATCCAAGGTCTCTTCCCAGGAAGTAACCGCAAAGAGGCAGGTGGCCTGGTGGGAGAGACGAGGGGCGATCTTTCGTTTGGAGAGTCTCGCGGTGAGGATGTAAGTGTTGCCATAGTGATAAGCGTTTATCGCATGAAGGGTACTGGAGGCGAGGTATCAGGCTCAGCGTGTACTTCGCTGAACATTTTGTAGTAACAGAAGGTCCAAGACAATCAGGCAGCCATCACAATGTTATCCCCCAGCCTTGGAAGCGTGGCGTTTGCATTGAGCAAGGGTCAGTATCTCATCACGATACCCATGTGATATCTTTTCTTGTTGATAGAAGCGCAAGAAAGCACATTCTAAGACCTTTCTTTACATACCTATATTCATATTGTTCTTGTTGAAGTATATGTTGGGGTTGTACTGCTCGTGCAGGAATTTTACGCTAGGCTTGCAAGCCGGGCGACGAACTGTACACTAGATTACCGAGGATGACCACTTAGTGGGGGCAGTCTTTATGAAGAGGTCGGCCAAGATAGGCCTGAACTCTGGACAACCCTGGAAAAAGCGGCTAATTTCAGAATAGTACATATCGAACTTGCACAGCAGAAAAAGTCTGTAAAGTGTTTCTATCCGCGCTGTCTAGGTAGCAAGATGCAAATAGATGAGAATTTCTGTGTTGTTTTTGTTAGGGCCTATGGTCATTGTGACGGTGCCAAGAAACTATGTTGTTCTTGTCTTTGAGCGGCTTCCTGATTAGGAACAACGGTCGATTTGGAACTGGTTATTTTTAAGGATCAAGGCCAACATTTCCGCTTGACAAATTTCCAGCTATGAGACCCAGCATCTTTTCACTGACAGTCTCGTTGTGCTGTAGACCCCCTTCTACATATTCTGCGAAGCATTAAACTAATATTACGAGGAAAAGCATGATGGTTGCTCATTTCCGAAACTCGCTTCACATACCTCACTTGGTTTTTCCCTATCCGAACGCGGCTCGCAATATTTACACTTTGATATCCAGATCTGGACCTACTTTATTGACTGCATTCGTAGTGAAGTCCGAAAAGAATGGAGCAGGAAATTCTTCCTGTCGAACTTGCTACTAGTTTCACCGCCGCGCCGGTTTGTCCAAGTCCAACAGTGACTAGGCTTTTGCTTCAAAAGGTGCTGACATTGATTACCTCGATCCATGTCTGAAGCTTGTGCCAAAGATGGAGGGCCCATACAATGAGCAAAGTGTGTGCGAGATGGACAGTTTTACTAAGGATAACGGCGTATGTCAGAAGATGCGATATAGTTTATCTCGAGGTCTTCCCCCAAAGTCTTCCAGAACTTGCAAAAGACACCCAAACAACTTCAAAATCAACCCATCAATCCCCCCAACTACCAACCCAGCATCTCAAACCTCTACTCCCCATCATTCCCCCAGCGCTTGAACGGCCTTCCCCTGCTCAATAACACACACCTCCACGCCCGCCGTAACTACCAAACTCTCCACATCAAACAAATACTCCTCGTCCTTCTTCACAACATCAAGGTAAAACGGATCCCTATACGCCTCCTCAAAGTCCTCATACCTCCTCACCCAAAAGTCCGCCATGCCATCATACGAGAGCGTAGGCTGGCTGAGCAGGGCTTTGTGCGCGGAGGTGGTGTGGTACTGGATTATATCAGCAGTATCTACATGGCGGGTGGAGATTCCGAGAACAGTGTATCCAGGAAATTGCGGGAGTGTGTTACCTGGACGTATTTCACGACACCGTGGCGTTGGAGCCAGGATGTTATGAGAGGGCCGTGTTTGTGCGCCCAGTGGTGGTTGAATTCGGATTCGGAGAGCTTGGGGTTGCGGTTTGCTAGGACGGTTACGCGGATGAGCTGCTCGGATGACATTTTGTGGGGGGATTGTCTGGGGATAGAAGAGAGTGTTGGAGAGCGTTTCAAAGGCGTGTGGATGTGTCTTCTTTACGCGGGAAACTGTCCATACTCGCTATGAGTGGTGACGTCATGTGTTTCTAATGAATGTATATGTAGAATTCATGGGAGGGAGATGAAATATGTCACGGAAAGGTCGGTGCGACAAAGTGCGATTGTGACGATGATAGATATCAGGAAGACAGGGGTTTGGATTTGCTTACCAGTTGATAGATGACAGTAAGGAAACAAAGAACGTGCCACGTTTTTGTGTGTTATCAGCATTGGAGGGTTTCGCCGTGTTTGAACCTGGAGCTGTACCAGTCTACGCATGAGGTCTGGAAAAGAGAACAAATCTTAGCTTGAGAACGCTCATCCTGACACGAAGCGTTAAACACCAACAAGAACAAAAAAACAACAAGCAAGAAGATGCAGAACAATACTCAGTCTACATCCGAGCAAGAGCCATGGATTTGCAAAAAACAAGGGCCGAACCGGAGTCGAACCGGTGACTTCGGGAAGACGGCTTTGGTGAGCTGCAGTCCTACACTGTGTATTTGTTAGACGGAGTTGTGGAGTGAAGATATAGGTGAACTAACCTCTACCACTGAGTTACCGGCCCGGTATTGGATGACTCATTTTTGAAATTCGACGTTTATATTCGTATTTTTCGAAATACAAAACTCTGCCATTTGTGTGTTTCTTTCTAGAAGTACACATTATACTGCATGCAGAGTGGGGGATGCGGGGTACTGCGCGACTCGTAACAAAAGTGGTTCGCCAACACATTTAGTACCTTATGATGTCCCTCTCTTGAGATTGATCTAGACGACACGTTTTTGGGAATGGTGAATAGCATCAAGTCGTCAGTACATTGTGCTTCAGGCGCTTCATACTATCCATTCTGCCAAAATGACTAGTAAGGTAACCACTACGACTAGATATGGTTTACCTACGTTCATAATAAATCTTTTACCAACGATTCGCACACACTTCCACCCGCGGCAAGACACGGTCTCTCGCCCCGGAAAACTTTGGTAACACGCGGACCTCCGCGTCACGTGGTCTTCTCCGCAACTTCCTACTCGAGCGACGCGCCTCGGCAGCTTCAACCGACGCAATGCGAGCCGCATACCCAAGCCCATTGCACGGCACACAATACAAGACGACGCCCCGTCCACTCCCCACAAAAGCACACGCAACATGTCGTCCCTCACCCCCCGCCTACTCCCCCGCGCCCTCCGCCAAACCAAACCCACAACACGCGCCCTCTCCCTCACAAACCGCCGCCACGCACACACCAAGCACCCCTCCACCTTCACGCCCCCAACGCAATCCGACCTCGACGAGCTGCGCGCCAGCGTGCAAGACTTCGCGCGCCGCGAGATCTCGGAGCAAGTCGCCGCACACACGGACAAGAGCAATGCGTTCCCGAACGAGCTGTGGAGGAAGTTTGGGGACGCGGGGTTGCTGGGGATTACGGCGGATGAGGAGTATGGGGGGTTGGGGATGGGGTATCAGGCGCATTGCGTTGTGCTGGAGGAGCTGAGTCGGGCGAGTGGTGAGTTTTTGTCTTTGTTGTTTGGGTTTGGGGGGATGGGATGGGAGGCTAATACTGGTGCTGTGTTGCAGGGAGTATTGGTCTATCGTACGCCGCGCATTCACAGCTGTGCATCAACCAACTTCAGCTCAACGGCACGGACGAGCAGAAGAAGAAGTACCTCCCCGGCCTCATCAGCGGCGAGCAGATCGGCGCGCTGGCCATGTCGGAGCACTCAGCCGGGTCGGACGTGGTCAGCATGAAGACAACAGCCAAGGAAGTCGACGGCGGCTACCTCCTCAACGGCACGAAGATGTGGATCACAAACGTACGTTCCCCCCCCATACCCCTCAAGCACATCCCTAACCCCACCCCCACCCAGGGCCCAGACGCACACACCATGATCGTCTACGCCAAAACCGACCCCACCGCCCACTCCAAAGGCATAACCGCCTTCATCCTCTCGACCTCCACCCCCGGCTTCTCCGTAGCCGCCAAGCTCGACAAGCTCGGCATGCGCGGCTCCAACACGGGCGAAATCGTCTTCGACAACGTCTTCATCCCCACCACCAACATCCTCGGCCCGCTGAACCGCGGCGTAAAAGTCCTAATGGAAGGTCTCGACCTCGAGCGCCTAGTCCTCTCCGCCGGCCCCCTCGGCCTCATGCAAGCCAGCCTCGACGCCGCGCTGCCGTACACCCACGCGCGGAAACAATTCGGCACGCCCATTGCGCATAATCAGCTCGTGCAGGGCAGGCTCGCGGATATGTATACCAAGTTTCGCGCGTCGCAGAGCTTTACGTATAGTGTTGCTAGGGCTATTGATGAGGGGTTTGAGGACCCGGTTATTCGCACGCAGGACTGTGCGGGCGCGATTCTGTATGCGGCGGAGAGGGCCAGCGAGGTCGCGGCTGATGCGGTGCAGTTGTTGGGTGGTATGGGGTATATGAATGAGATGCCTGTGGGGCGGATATTGCGCGATGCGAAGCTGTATGAGATTGGGGCGGGGACGAGCGAGGTGCGGCGGATGGTTATTGGGCGCGCTTTTAATAAGGAGTGGAGGGTTGATGGGGTGTAGAGCGTCATGTCATGTCATGCTGTGGGAATGCAATTCTTCCGTGCTATTTATCTACCACCCTCTCTACCCTCATAAAACAACAACTTACCCCAGAAACGACGCAGCGAACCCCGCAACCTCAGCCGGTCGCTCCACCATAGGCAAATGCCCCGCGCCGTCAATGACCTTCAACTCCACCCCCGCACCCAGCTTCTCCGCCATATTCTCCCGCATACTCTTCGGCAGCACGCCATCCTGCGCGCCCACCAAAAACGCACCCTTGCCCTTGAACCCCGCCATGCCCTCGCGCAAATCATACGCATGCAGCGCCTTCACCCCATCGCGAAACCCAGGCAGAGAATTCGTCTTAACCAGCTCCTTGGCGTGCGCGAGTTTGGGCGCGAGATCCGCGTCGTCGTAGGACGCGGGGACGAACCAGCGGCGTGTTGTGATTTCGGCGAGTTGCTCGCCGACGATGGGCTCGCGGGTGGGGGAGAGTGCGGCTTCGGCCTCGCACATGGCGACGCGGTCGAGCCAGGCTTGGGCGTTGGAGGGCGGGGCGAAAGCGTTGGTGTCGCAGGCTATGAAGGAGGAGATTCTGTTTGGGTGGGTGAGGGCGGTGTTGAGGACTGTTGCGCCGCCGAGGGAGACGCCGATTAGGGAAGCTGTTTTTGCGCGGAGGGCGTCGAGGAGCGCGATGATGTCGGCGGCGAGGACGTCGACTGTTACGGGGGAGGTGGAGGAGGGGGGCAGGGCGTTGCGGCCGCGGGCGTCGTAGCGCAGGATTCTGTATGCGGGGGCTAGTTTGAGGAAGTGCGCTACGAAGTCGTCCCAGATGGTGTGGTCGACGAGGATGCAGTTGGAGAGGACGAGTAAAGGGGCGTTGGGGTCCGTGGCGCCTTCGAGGCGGTAGGGGATCTGGACGCCGTCGGCGGTGGTGATGTAGCTCTGGATGAGGGGCCGTTTCTCGGGCGAGGCGTGGGCGGGATATGTGCGGGTGAGGCCGTCGGTGGAGGCAGACGGGAGCGTGTCGTCCGACTCGAGGGAGAGCAGGTCGCGCTGGGCGGCGCCGAACGTGTAGTACCAGTTGTACACCCTCCGTTTGCGGTTCTTGACGACGGAGCCGTAGATCTTCTCGCACCAGGGGGTTGTCGTCGCGGCAGTGATCTCAGGGCTATCCGCCAGTCCGTTCTCGGGCGCGTACTCGTGCAGGGCGAGGTACTCCTTCTGCTTTGCGTGCCCGCTCTGCAGGTCCAGATAGCTGGTCTCGAAGCGGCGTGAGCGTCGCCAGCCGGGCACCTTCATGAGCAGCGGCACGTGTTCGTCCTCGTACCAGCGGCGCAGCTCGTCCTCCATGCCCTCGCCGTCGTGCAGGTTGAAGCTCACGGCGATCAGGACGTTCTGGCGCCCGTCGCTCTGCACTTCCTGCAGGTCGGCGAAGTCGTCGCCCTTCCACTCCTTCAGCAGATCGTAGCTCCGGCGGTCGACGAAGATCTGCTTCATCGTGTCGCGCTCGCGCTGGCTCTGCACGGGGGCGGCGCGCAGCCTCGTATACTCCTCACGTGTCAGCCATTCGAGCTCGTCGAAGTCGTAGATGGCCATCCATTCGGGCTGCTCCTTGGTGCCGGCCTGGCTGGCGAGGTCCGAGGCGCGGTAGCGGAAGCCATTGTTGCAGAAAGGGAGGCGCAGACGGTTGGGGCCGTGTTCATTCTGGTACCTTTGTCGGAGTGTGAGGCCCTGTTTGCACGACGAGAGGATGCGGCTGGGCACGTCAACTTACCAGTCGTGGAACTGTGCTTCTGGCAGGCCCTCTTTGGGCTGCATCGTCACGTACAAGATGCCGGGCGTGCGTTTGGACGCCATCTTGAAGATCTACAGCTTGATGTGTTGTTTTGGGGGGTTACAATGTCAACAGGTATAGATATGGCAGTAGATGTGCACGTCACGGCTGGTTAAACAGGTACTGATAAGAGACGGGACTTGACTTGACTGTATTGGTGGTAACGAGGCCCGTCTCTCCGATGACATCTGCCGGCACGCCCCAGACCAGTTTGCCAGACGTTTGCCCCTCCTGTTCCGATTCTCGGGACTTGGAGGGGTAAATGCATGCATACAAGCATCCCCTGCATCATCATCTCACCAAGAGAGTCAAGTAACATGCATCAACTACACGTGGCAATTGATCAAGGTTGAATGCACGCGTATATCGAGAATTTGAATGTCTTATATATAAACAACCAACCTAATCATACCAGATCGCGTTCATTCCGAACCCCTTCTCCCCAATCTCCAGCCTCGCGACCCTCGCCAGATGCTCCTTGTGCCACCTGTAAATCTCCACCCCACCCTTTTCATCGTCTGTCAGCGCAAGCCACTCGTCACTCCACGGGCACGGCGACACGGCATTCGAGTGCCCGCCAGACGTGGGCGTAGGATTGAGGCAGATCTGGCGCTCAATGGCGCCCGAGGGAGCAATTTTAAAGGCGGCAATATAGCCTGTGAGCGAGAAGGAGTTCGATCGGGAGGTAGCGAAGAGGTATTCAGAGGACTGGGTCAGGAAGCAGACGTCGGAGCGGTACATGGTATCGGCATTGGGGATGTCTTTGTCCAGTCAGTTTCACGCAGGTGTGAGGTTTAGAGGGGGTAATTCGAGACTGACCAGGCGGTATCAACGGATACGTCTTGTGCGTGTAGATTGGCAGCTTCGTGATGGGATCAATCACGTACTCGCACAACCTGTTTCCGCCCTCCATCAGCGCATACAAGTACTGCCCGCTGGGATGCATCTCCACCCATCGCGGATGGTCTTTCGGTGCAGGCGCTTCTGTGAACCCTACCGTCTCCAGCCTGCCCGCGTCGTCAATCTTCTTGTGACACCACACTCGGTTCGCCCACATGTCTGCGCTGTACAGATACGTCTCTGTAGGGTCAAACACCATGCCGTGAATGGCCGTCTTGTCGCAGTACTCGTAGTTTTGGATGTTCTCCTTCATGCGCCCGGATTCGTCGACGGAGAAGACATTGCCAAAGCCAGCGTGGTCGTAGAAGGGGTTGCAGTAGACAGCATACGGGGGCTTTTTCCCGGGTAGGAGGAAGATGGCGCGTGTCTTGGTGTCGGCATCATTTGCTCTGGCTGTTGCAGAGTCAGTCCCTCTGTGGTAAGTGATAAGTGATAAGTGATAAGATATGCGCATACCGTGTCCGCCCAGAGGGAAGCTTCCCGTATGCACAATCTCGCTGGGACTGTTGACTTGGTGGGAGCTCCATTTCTTCATCGACGAGCCGTAGATGTGCTTGCGCGTGTGCTGTGAGGCACGTGTCAGCTATGATGAGGCTCAATTGATTCATTCCAACATGAACATACATCAAATGCCATCCAGCTGATCGGCTCGTCCTCGGGGATTTCTGTCTTCTTCACCAATTCCAGCTTCAGCGTCTCTTCGTCGAATGCGACTGTGATGATGACGCCCGGGGGTGTCCATGTCCCGATCATAAGATGATGTTTGACCATGTTGGCGATGCCTCTCTTGAACGCGACGGTAGTTTGGTGAGAGAATGACAGAGGCGTTGGATGCAGGCCTGCAAATCTGAATAGCCTCGCAGAAAGCATCGCCCTCGAGCTCCAAGACCCCGACCATGTTTGGTCGGCGCGCCAAATGCCTGGGACCTAGCTTGAATGCGGGGCACCTGTTCCTTGCAAGGCTCTGGATAAATGGCGGATAAGACGTCTTCCACGGCGCCATTCCTCTCATTGGCTACACGCCTCACGAGAATGCGGGGCAGCCACCACAACGCCAAACGCCTTCGCCCACAAAATGTCGCCGTGTGCCAGGAGCCGACCGAGGTGCCGCTGTTCGCCATTGGCAAATCCAGATGGGCTGATGCACGGCTAGAAGCCCGGCGATTGTCAACGGCGGCCACTCGGTTGGCGGAGGCGCTGAGGGGTTTAAAGGTCATGACGCCCCGGATTGTGGCAGCCATCAACATACAAACTATAGTTCCTCGATTGCCTGCGTAGTCACATAGTCACATATTCCCGTTCATTCCATCCCATCTCCCTCCAGCACAAACCACCCAACACAGCAGCAATGGCGACGGCACCAGAGTACCAGGAGAACGGCAAGCACCGCTTCGACCCCAACTTCACCGATGCTGTCATCAACGCCATCGGGCCCAACACACCAGAGAGGACGCGCTTCGTCTTCAGCTCCATGATCAAACATCTGCACGACTTCATCCGTGAGGTCGAGCTGACCAACGACGAGTGGTTTGAGGGTGTTCGCTTCGTCAACTCCATCGGCAAGACAACGACAAACATCAGGAACGAGGCCCACCGCATCTCCGACGTCTTGGGCGTTGAGTCGTAAGTTGCTCGCAAAGTTCCACGTGATAAACCAAAATTGACGCCCTCACAGCCTCGTCGACGAGATTGCACACAAGCACATCAACGAGTCTGGTGATGCGCCCACCTCCAGCACCATCCTCGGTCCCTTCTGGTCGCCCCACTCGCCCTTCCGCGAGCTCGGCGACTCCATCGTCATAAACCCGCACGACAAGGGCCAGCTCACGCTCATGCACGGTGTAGTGCGCGACCTCGACACCAAGAAGGGCATCCCCGGCGCCGTCATCGACATCTGGCAGGCGAGCGCCAACGGCATGTACGACTTCCAGGACCCAGACCAGGAGTCCAACAACCTCCGCGGCAAGTTCACCACAAACGAGAAGGGCGAGTACTGGTACTACTGCTACAAGCCGACTGCCTACTCGCTGCCCACTGATGGTACGTCCGCAATTCCACCCCCACAAACAATCACTCACTAACATGACCCTCCAGGCGCAACCGGCACACTCTTCAGGGCAATGGACCGCCACCCCTTCCGCCCCGCACACATCCATCTCATGGTCTCGGCCGACAACTTCAAGCCCCTCATCACACAACTCTACCCACGAGACGACCAGTGGGTCGTCAACGACACCGTCTTCGCCGTCAAGGACGATCTGCTGCTCGACTTCGTGCCCGCCAAGGACGAAAAGTCGAAGCTCGACCTCGAATACAACGTCACGCTTGCGCCAACATACAAGAAGACTGCTCGTCTAGACGGCATCCCAAGGCTGCCCAACGTTTTCGACGAGCAGAGCAGGTTGTAAATGAGGATTTGTGTATATAGCGTTTTTGATTCAACATGTTTGTAAATACCGGCTTGGTTTGGGATGAACCTTGGATATTTTTGGTTCCGCTTGCTCGGAAAAGGTAGCATGCTTGTAGACGTGCTATGAATGAGAAATTCAAAACTACATGAACACTTTCGTCCGATGTCGCTCAAGTCTGTAATGCTGAAGCGGGAAAAACATGTTTCCGAGAGACATGGCACAGAAACACATATATATATCTGCCTTCCCCCCTCTAAACCAGCGCACTACATGTCCATCCCCCGCCTCCTCTCAACCACACGCCCGCCCACCTCCCTCCGACCACGATACTTCCACCCTCTCAACCACACCCTCAACCACACCCACAACCACCGCTTCACCACCCTCCCCCCCAAAAAAATGCGCGTCCCCTACGCCCCAACAACCCCGCCCTCCCCCTCCGCCGCCCCAATCTACACCCGCATCGCCGCGCGCCGGCACCCACGCCCCCTAATCCCGCTCGACCTCGCGCTCCTCCACAACCCCGCCGTAGCAGACGGCTGGTCGTCCTTCATCGGCGCAATCCGCACCGCCACGTCCCTCCCGGCGACCGTCAAAGAACTCGCCATCTCGCGCATCGCGGTGCTAAACGGCGCGGTGCACGAGTGGGATGTACATGCCTCTCTTGCCGTGAAAGCGGGGGTGAGCAGGGAGGTTATGCGCACGGTGTTTAGCGCGGAGTGTACGCGGGGGATGGATGAGGGGGGGCGGAAAGCGGTGCTTGGGGGAATGGGGGAGGTGGAGGAGGTGGTGGTGTTGTATACGGATCAGATGACTGTGGGGGTTAGTGTTGAGGAGGGGGTTAGTGAGAGGGTTAAGGCGGTGCTGGGGGATACGGGGTTGGTGGAATTGACGGCTACGGTTGCGGCGTATAATTGCGTGAGTCGGTTTTTGGTCGCGTTGGATGTTGGGGAGTGTAATGGGAGGGGGATGAAGGAGGTTGATGAACTTTAGAAAGGGGGGGTTGAATTGGGATTTATGTTTGATTGGGACTTGTAACGTTGCCGTATATATATATGCATATACACATGTCTTACACGCACCCTTCCCTTCCATCCCTTCCCCATCACCCAACCACCCCGCCATCATACCCCCCCTCATCCCCCCCAACAACATACCCCGGCCGATCCGCCTCCGCCAAACTCCCCGGCTCAATAAACCGACACGTAAGCGCAAACCTCAGCTTCCCCTGATGCTCAACAGCATGCTCATAGTACCTCTGCAGCGCCGCCCCATGCATGACCACGACATCCCCATGCCCCAACTCCATCTTCAGCGCCTCCTTCGCATTGCCGCCGCTCTTCAGCCCGAGCTCCCTAGGAATCTGCTTCAAGCGCGCACGGTACGCCTTCGCATCTGACGCCTTGAGAGCCGCGAGGCCGGGCTGGAGGGCAAGCCGGGCTGCGTAGTGTGCGGACGAGGGGAGCGGCGGGGTGTCGTCGTAGACGCCCGCGCCGGCCGAGACGCCGTTGTGATGGCGCGCTTTGAGGCGGATGCGCATTGTGCCCGGTGCGCCGAGGGAGAGGGTAGCGATCGTTGGGCCGAGGCCGTGTTCGCCGTCGTCGTGGTAGTTGATTTTCTGAGCCTCAAAGTAGCCCAGGGCGAGGACTTCGTTGAATTCTGTCGCCTTCCACGAGCTGCTGACGTGTGCCATGGTGCGTCCTGTTTCCTGCGTGAAGAGGTACTTGGCCGCCCAGTTTAGTCTGCTGCGGGTTGCGGTGATGGGACGGGCGGCGGTGGAGAAGGGGTGCGAGGCTGTGGCGGCGATGAATTTGTAGGGCATGCCGTAGTTGACGGCGAAGTGCCGGCAGTAGGAGTCGCCTTTTAGTTGGGTGTTTGGCAGGGCGCGGCGGCGGAGACCAATGTCGTGCTTTTGCAGGTCTTCGAACATGTCGTCTGGACCGCCGGGTTCCTCGTTGATGGTCTTGTTGGCGATCATGTGGGTGATGAAGCCTTCGATGCCGGGGATCGTGTACCGTATTATGCGGTATCCATGGGCGAAGGAGACGCGCGCTGCGACGGAGGGGGAGTGGGTGTCGCGAGAGAGTGTGTAGGTGGATGTCAGGGGCCAGAGAGGCTCGCGGAGAGACAATGCAGAGATCAGTGTGTGTGGTGGGCGCTTCACAAAGGTGCATGTTGGGTTCAAGCATTCCCAACCCGTCCAGGCGAGACGTGAGTTGCAGCGTCCACATAAGGGGCAGACTATGCCGAGCCAGAAGGCCTGCGACGTGTCTTCGCCGGGGATGGAGTGTCCAGAGAGCTCGGCATTGTTGGACGTGAGCGGGTAGTCGTGATCGTCGTTGGGCCATGAGATCTTCTGCTTGAGAAAGCGGGGATCGTAGACGAGGTTTGCTTCGACAGGTTCGTAGGGCATGAAGTCGGGATCGGAAGCAGTGATCTTCCAAAATGCAGCACAGGCAGGCTGCAGACACATCCACCCATTCAAGTATATTTGCTGAGATGTGATGTCGCACACTCGGCAGGTCTTCGAATCCGGTGGTGGGAGAGCGCCGAGTTCGACGGGATCTTCTACGTCCTTTGCTCTCCACCAAGAGTCTTTCTTCGTATTTAGTTTCTCAAATCGATATCGCAAGATCTTGCTCTTGCCGCTCTTCTCGGCCCAGATATGTGTGGGTTTGAAGTAGTCGAGAACGCAATACTGGTGCGGCGGTTGTGACGGGATATACGGGTTATCGACGCCAGTGATGATGACCACTGGATTGTAGTGATTCATGCAGTTCCTGAGTCCCTGCACAACCGAGTCCTCGACTTGATCTTTCCCTGCTTTCATCTCGCCCGAATCCTTATCCTTGACCAATCCACCACCAGCTCGCGCGATGACAACATTGCTATCCAGGTAGTCTCGAGGGTGGGCGACTTTGTCGAACATGAAGGCCCGCACAAAGCCGCCAGTACTGTAGCAAGCACTCTGGTAGCTGCGGAAGTAGTGCAATGTCTCGCACAGTTCTTGTCGTCCATCAGCCCAAACTTCTGGTTGGCCACTGGGCTCCGGTTTACTCAAACCAGATTTGCGATGTGCAAACAGTTGCTCGCAGATGTTGTGGAGCTCCTGTTGATCGAGTTTCCGGATCGAGCTTGCTGTCGTGAATACGGCTTCGTCTTCATCCACAGTAGTGGCTTCCGAGTCTACGTCTGAGATGGTCTCTGGTGCGTCGATTCCGGGCGTTATAGCCTCTGGTGGTGGTAAAGCATCTGCGTCTTGTCTGTTTTGTGAGGCATTGGCTACATAACACTTACTCTCTGGTGTTTGCGAATGTTGAGGAAATACCGGGTGACTTAAAAGCTGTGTAGGTTGCGTTTGGTAGGAGGGTTGATCTGGAAGGATATTGGTCTGGGGTGGAATGGTAGTAGCATCACCTGGTATGGCACTCGGCACGTAGCGTGGTGCTGAATGTGGAGTGGGGGGCGCGAAAGAAATTCGACTGCTCTGAGGCGAGACCCATGGAGATTCCCTGAAGACTTGGCGTGGATCGGGGCCAAAAGGCTGATGTAGCATATCATCTGGCAATCGTTGTACATGCGACGCTTCTGCCTGTGGTATGCTGAGCTTTGCTGCAGCCTGAGAGCTGTTTGGAGAGACCTCGCTCTGACTGGATGCAAGTATCGGTGGAGACGCTGGCTGAGCACAGTCCTCATAATGGTATTGAGGACGAGACCCGTTGTTGCTACTGAAGCTGACATTCGGTATCGGGAGATCACAACCAAGCAGGGGGTCAAGCTGCGACGCCTGGTGAGTTAGGTACTCTGGCAGATATATCTGGGAAAGACGGGGATGCGCTTGTGACGTTTGGTAGGGAGATCGATCAGATTGTGGGACTTGTAGCTCTTCTTTGTGGACTGGCTCGCTGGATAGCGTTGAATGCTCTGTGGTGTTACTTCGGAAGCTGAGATTCTGCACTGCATGATCATGAGAAGTTGAGGGATCGTTATCCCCAGAATCATAATTCTGCAGAACCTGAGGCCGTAGAATATCCTGTTGAGCTGGTTCGCAGTCTTCTTGCGATGCTTGCTGGATGGACGACATCGGTCGATCAGTAACGTCGGATAAGAGGTTGTCTGGTGGTACTTTGTGACGGGTAATTCTCGAATCACACTCTTTTGTTATCGGCGTGGAGTGACCGCGAACGGGTTTTTCTAGAAGCTCCGTATGCGATTGAGATCCTGGTTGAATATAACTGCGAGTGACTCGTGTGGGTGTCGCTTCTGGCGTTACCTCTTGTACCGCCTGCACCACCTGAGATGTCTGGAGATCCTCTGTAGGCTTCGGCTGAATGCTACTGCGAGTGGTTCGTCTGGTCTTTGGCAGAGAGTCGGGAGTCTCCAGTTGTGTGTTATTACAGGGGGCTCGTCGAGGTGTGACCTTCTCTTTGACCTGGGATTTTAGTTGAGCGCTCCTGCGAGTGGGACGTTTTGGCGTGACTTCCTGCGCAGGTTGAGAGTTCTGGGCTTCCACCTGTGTGTCATGGCGAGTGAACACTTGTTTGGGGGTCCCACTCGGGCTCGGTTGGGTGACAGTACGATTGCGAAACTCTTTCACTCTTTTCAAAGGAGGCGGTGGAACTGCATGAGTTGCTGGTGCCTGACGCTTGCGATCGCGACGAGGGCGCTGGGAGGCTGCTGTCTCATAATCATTTCGGTCGAGCTGGAACTGGCGAACTGCAACATCAACCCCCTCCTCGTTCGTGTGCAGGACTCCGTTGCAGTTACTCAATAATGACCCCAAGCTTGACCTCGACGAGTCTTCATCAAAGACACTAGGGAATGAAGTGTTGTTCGAGTCAGTCGAGTGTTGCTTGAAAGAAGTGACCTCCATGGTAGACTGTTAATTGAAAACGCGTAATGACAGGAGTAGAACGACGAAACGAACAGTGGTTGACAGGAAGGGGATGGTGTACAGAGGAAGCACAGCGGCATGAACAAATCGTCAATTAAGCTACATGGACAATAGAGAAGACGAAACGTCAGAAACAGATTGTTGAAGTGAAAGAGGCTTTGGAGGGGCGCCACCATCGCGATTGAACCCATGGTTACGTTACGCAAGCCCCCGCACCACCAGACAATGGCGTTCTACAGCATCAGTTGATTGACAAGTTCCAGTCTACACACGAGTTGACTGATGATGGATCGAAAGGCGAGACAGACGTTGTTTCTCATCGACACGCTCACCGCTGTGCTGCACCGAGTCAGTCCTGGGCACGAGTCACGAAGCTTGAATCACGCGAATCCTACACCTCGGCTTCTCCTACGCCATTGATGAAGCTTCCCCACACATTTCAACCGGATGTAGAACCGAAGATGAGCCAGCGTCGATCTACAGGTGCTAGCGCTGCTCATACGCTCTGGCAGCCGGGCTTCCAGTCGACCGGGTGGCTGGGTTCTTCTTCTCTGTCGACATTCCACGAGTACAAAGACGCGTGAGTGTTTGCAGCCATTGACACTGGTACAGAGCGACTCCATCATGCCCTCCTTCCACGCGCCGTCATGGGTGCCACAGCTCCCCATCGAGCCTCCCAACTCCATCTCCATCGGCGACTTTATGCTCAATGAGCAATACGGCCGACTTGCGCATGCGACCTCGAGGAATCCCTTCACCTGCGGCGTGACGGGCAAGACATACTCAAGTACTGAAGTCAAGGAGCGCGTCGAATACCTCGCACGCGGACTGGCCAAGGAGCTCGGATTCGAGGTGAACAAGGGCTCAGAGTGGGACAAGGTCGTTGCTGTCTTCTCGTTGAACACGGTGAGTGCAATTCAGCACCCAACATTGGAGCGCGTCATATTGACATGCGACAGCTAGACACGCTTCCTCTTGCATGGGCGACGCATCGTCTGGGCGGCATCCAGACGCCTGCGAACGCGGCCTACAGCGCCACCGAGCTCGAGTATCAGCTGAAGAACTCGAAAGCGAAAGCCCTCTTCACCTGCCTCCCGTTGCTCGACCTTGCGAAGCAGGCAGCTAAGAAATGCGGCATACCCGAAACTCGCATATATTTGCTGGAACTGCCAGAGGCGTTCGCGGATAGCAAAAGCAAGTCGAGCGGCATGAAGACGGTAGACGACTTGATTCTTGAAGGCGCCAAGTTAGACCGTCTGGAACCCTTGAACTGGGCACCTGGGCATGGCGCTGAGAGGACCGCATTCCTCTGCTACTCTAGCGGCACATCAGGATTGCCGGTAAGCCAGACAGTGCGTCTTGCGCAGCCGACACGTATTGACAAGAATTGCAGAAAGGCGTTATGATCTCTCACAAGAACGTCATCGCAAACATATGTAAGCTCAAACGAACGGCTTCTTCGATACCCAGCTAACTTCGTGCAGTGCAAATATGCACGTTCGACGACCCTTACAGACAAACAAAGGCCAACCCAGGTGAAATCTACACCGAAAATGTATTAGGCCTGCTTCCCATGTCACACATCTACAGTCTGGTTGTTATCTGCCATACAACCGTCTACCGGGGAGACAGTGTAATTGTTCTTCCCAAATTCGACTTCCAGACTACGCTTCAGTCCATCCAAGATTACAAGATCAACTCACTTTTTCTGGTCCCGCCCATCATTATCATGTTGACCAAGAGTCGGGAGCTTCTCGCCAAGTACGATCTCAGCTCTGTTTGGTCGATTTTCACAGGCGCGGCTCCGCTTGGTAAAGAAACAGCAGAGGAGTTGCAGAAGATCTTCCCTACGTGGAAGATTCGTCAGGCCTATGGTAAGAATGTTCCGCGCGTAAGCTTTGCAGCTGCTAACTCTGGTACAAGGCCTTACCGAGACGTGTACAGTCGTGTGTTTGACCTCTCCTGACGATGTTTGGTTCGGCTCATCCGGTTCACTTGTTGCTGGTATTGAGTGCAAGCTCATAACTCCCGAAGGCAAGGAGGTTACCGAATACGATACTCCCGGCGAGCTCTGCGTGAAGTCCCCTTCCGTTGTGCTGGGGTACTTGAATAACGATAAGGCGAACGCGGAAACATTCAAAGATGGGTTCATGCACACCGGTGACGAGGCAGTGATCAAGAAGTCGCCAGCGGGCTACGAACACATTTTCATCGTTGATCGAATTAAAGAGCTCATCAAAGTCAATGTGCGTTATGCTCTCCAACATCATACTGTGTATACTGACTTCATTGCAGGGACACCAAGTCGCTCCCGCAGAACTTGAAGCTCATCTTCTCAGCCATCCGGCGGTGAACGACTGCGCTGTCATTCAAATCCCCGATGAAAAGGCTGGCGAAGTGCCGAAGGCGTTCGTCGTCAAATCAACATCGGTTGGTATCGAGGAGAGCGACCGCGTGCTTGCCCGCCAAATTCAGAGGCACGTTGAGCAACACAAGGCACGGTACAAGTGGATATCGGGCGGTATCGAATTCATCGATGTTATCCCTAAGAGTCCGTCGGGGAAGATCTTGAGGCGACTGCTGAGGGACAAGCAGAAGGAGAACAAGAGAAAGACTGGCGCCAAATTGTAGACTAACAAGCGGGGATAATATGTAGTCGTTGTATAATATATAATAACTGTGGTACGTTAGATAGACTGTCTAGGATTGAACTTTGGCCAAAGTAATATACTTAATGAAGCTCGTCATCGAGAATTACAGATTGACTTTAACTCACGTAAGCAAAGTCGATGGGTGAGGCTGAGGCGAGTGCGTTATCGATAAGAATGTGGGGTTGTGATTTGCCCCTCACAACACAGACGCGAAGGAAAAAGTTCTTGGTGGAAGGCGCAATCGAGCATTTCTAAGCAGCGCGTCTCAGCGACTCACATAAATATTCTGAGGAGATTCTCGTTGCCGGCTTTCGCTCATATCGCCTGTTTATCTATCGGAACTCACAAAAAGTACAAAATGGCCGTCCCAAACCCCAACCAGCCCCTCCAGGAAGACGACATCGACTACCATGATGAAGACAACATGCTCGAAGCCGATGAGGCGGAAGAGATCGTAGAAGATGATGGCGACGTCCCCATGGATTCAGATGACGAGGGCGATGAGGGCGTGGAGATGGAGATACAACTGCAGAACGACTCTTTCGCGCACTTCGACGAGCACACAGACAGCATCTTCTGCATAGCGCAGCACCCCGTACATCTAGATATCGTTGCAACAGGTGGTGGCGACGACAAAGGCTATATTATCGATGTCTCCTCGGCACCTGCTGCTCAACCTAGCGACAGTGCGCAACCACAAGAAAGAGAGGGATTGAAGAACTTGTTCACGCTGGACGGGCACAAAGACTCCATCAACGCTATCACGTTTTCTCAGCCCAAGGGTCAGTTTGTAGCAACAGCAGGGCTGGACGGGAAACTACGCGCATGGCAGGGCGTTCCGGACGGCAAGAAATGGAAGTTCCTGGCCGAAGTGCAAGAAGTCGAGGAAATCAACTGGCTCATCGCGAACCCTTCCCCCAACCACCCCAACGTCCTTGCCCTCGGTGCAAACGACGGTTCGGTCTGGGTCTACCAGCTGAGCACCGATAAGGGCGCGGAACTACAGGTCTTACAGGCTTACTACTCCCACACCGAGAGCTGCACAGCGGGAACATGGTCGCCGGACGGTTCTCTCCTAGCCACCATCTCCGAAGACTCTAGTCTTTACGTCTGGGATGTGTTCGGCGACGCTGCATCGCAGGGTCTCACATCAACATCCGACTCACAAGCTGTCGTTGGTCTGACCGGAGTCGACGAACGCTTCCGCGTTGAAGGCGGTCTGTACTCCATTGGCATCCCTCCCTCGGGCGCATTCGTCGCAGTCGGCGGGCCAGAAGGTCAGATTCGCATCGTCGGCCTACCTCGTCTTTCCCTCGCCGCACCTCCACAAGGAACGACATCCTCTGGCGGTGGCGGCGCAAAGAACAAAGCCGGTGGCGGCAAGCAAGTCGCTGCCAAAGGCGGCGCTTCATCCGCCGGCCAAGCAGGCCAGATCCTCGCCAGTCTCCAGGCGGGAAGCGATAATGTCGAGTGCATGGATTTCTCATCCCCGCCGCTCACACTCATGGCTGCTGGAAACGTCGATGGCTCCATCACCCTTTTCGACACGGCACATCGGTTTGCGGTCCGCAGGCGGATAGAAGAAGCACACGCGGATGAAGACTCGCCACAAGCTGTTGTCAAGGTGGACTTCGTCAAGAAAGAAGGCCCGGGCGGGTGGCTGCTCACAAGTGCTGGATACGACGGCGTGCTCAGGCGGTGGGATGCAAGGGGTGGGACGGCAGCTGCTGGCAAGGGGCTTGTGGGTGAGTGGAAGGGTCACCAGGGTGGTGGAGAGGGTGGGGGTATTATGGGGTTCGTGCAGGGTGACGGGGAAGCTGTTATCACAGCAGGGGACGATCACGTTGCGCTGGTGTTCAAGACACCGTTGTAGATGGATTATATTCAAAGTGTAGAGCGTTCTAGAGGGGGTATCATTCATGCATTCGATTCTTTTGCGTGTTCTATTCAAGACAACTCCAAGACTTGTCTTCCAGTATGCCATATAGACAAAGTGGCGATTTTACAACTTCTGCAAGCAAACTCCACGCAGAAACTAATCTACGCACGGGAGAGGAAGCTTACCTCCCATCGAAACCACAGTCTAGACCAAAATCTCGCCTTGGCACCGTAGCTTCAGCGAGAACGACAACGAGCATGCTTGTACACGGGCACAAATCTGTCCCAGTATGGGATTCCACCTTGCGCCTCGTAGGCATGCCAATGCCCACGCGTCGCACGACATGAAACGATGAAAACGAGCATGATCAAAAAGAAAAATAATTCAACCGCAACCCATGTAACGTCAACGCTCGACGATCTATTCGCCCATGGGATTTTCACCGTGAACTCGCAAGGGCTTCCCATTCCAACACCAACGCGTCTGCGTAGATAGATGTATTCGCCACCATCAGCGCGCGCCCCACGTGCTTGCGCGATTTCCTCGCCCCAATGACGTAGACACGCGTGTCCGCACAGCACAGCACAGCACAGCATGTCAGCAGCGTGGCGAGAAAAGAAAATCGCTGCACAACACAAGACAAGCACACCCCACCAGCCCCGCACCGCACCGCACCGCCCTGCCCTGCCCTGCCTTGCCTCGCCGCGCCTCGGCAAAACACTTGGTTGCGCGTCCATGGTACCTACCCATGGGCATGGCATGGGTATCTATGGTAGTCACGCGCAATACGAGCGACACCCACGGTCTAGACACTCGCTGTCTGCAACAGGGCGATCGGGCATTGCTTTTGCGCCGAACTGCGTACGTGCAGCGTTGCGCTGGCGCTTGTGCGACGCGATGAATCATAGCGGGCTCGGCTTGGACTGAACGGGGGGAAGCGTTGCGAGGAGAAAGCAAGCAAGCGGACGGGACGGCCGTGGTTTACGGTACGTAGTTAGTAGTTAGTACGCGGATCTCACTCCTCCGGTCATGGATGCTACTTTCTGCTTTTCACTTTGATGGAGTGTGCAGAACTGCAGAATGGCCACGGGATCCTGTGTTGGTGTGGCGAGGACGTGCCGACTGGGGTTGTTTTGGTTCGATGGATAGCAGGTACTTCGACTGTCAGCCTCTTCGCGGGGTAATTCTTCGTGGTCGTTTTTGTTGGTGATGCGGATGACACTCCGCGCGGTTGTGATTGCTCACACATTTTCGAGAAGTGGTCGGATGGAGGGGCCGGATGCATGATTCCTTCTTCCACAGAGAGTTGTCTACGAACTGGTGAGGGTCTGAAATCTGAGAAAGCCTTTCAAGCCTTTGTGGGAGTCAATGGGGGACTATGAGAGTGAGATTCTCTTATAGAAAGTATGGTCAAGACCACCACCACTAAATATGGGCATAAGGGCATGGTGAAGATAGGCATGCATTGTATAATACCATCTTCGAACAGAAGATAGGCCTATTTCGTGCCTGATAATTGAGTATCATGTTTCGTTATGTTCCTTATATCCCTCTGGTCATGCCATGCGCGATCACTTCGACGCCAGCATTGTGACAACGCCGCGTCGCACAGAGAAATTAACCCCCCAATATCCACACCACAATGCTCATGGCTGCACCGCAGCGTTCCTCGCCAATCATAATCAAAATAGTATAGAATACAAAGAAGAAGAGAACCAAAGCAGAAAAAGCTTTTGTAGTATGCGGCAATAATCGGGGTATCGTAAAATCGTCGTGAAGAGGAAGGGCAACGTCAAGTGCATTTTCTTTCAAAGAGTGCATCTGCAGCAGAGGCAATGTTTTGGTGCAGCTAAGCATCTCTGCATGCCGTGAGATGAGCACGGTGGGCTAAAAGTCTTCGACCCTAAAGAGTAACAGAGCTGAGTGCGGCGGTGTTTATTCCTGTTTGTCCATGTCCTCTTCGTAGTCTTTGAGAAGCTCGAGTCCGCCGAATTCGTCTGAGCCAGGGCTCGACATTGCTGTGCCTTCGCTATTCATCGAGTCGGAGCTATGTTTGCGGGCGAATCGGCCAGTTGCCTCCATGGTCGGCATGGCAGTATCCTGCGTCTGATTGGGGAAGCGAAGGCCTGGCGAACGTGACGTGGATGTAGGTGCTTCCATGCCCAGTAGATCACCCGCACAACGTGCGAGATACTCATCGACAGCCCAGAACCCACATCCAGCGTGGCGCAGCACCTCGTTCTTCAGACTAAGTACTTCTTCTCGTAGCATTGCCACGTTCTCTTTCAACTGCTTGTTCTTTGTAGAAAATTCTCTAGCGCGGCCTTCGAGCCCACCAATGTACTCCTTTTTGCGTTGCCTGCACTTGTGGGCCGCGACGCGGTTCTTCTCGAGATGAGACTGGCGAGCGGAGGAGACCTGGAACGGGAAGCCATCGGCCGTGTATGCCTCGACCATCTGCGGCTGCGACTTGGGCCTTCCCCGCTTGCGCTTGGCTGGCTGCGGGTTGGCGCTCGCATCTTGTTGTTGTGCGGGGTCGTAGAAGGTCGATTGAGTCTGATTGGCTGCAGCTTGTCTGCTAGTACGGCGACGCTTTGGTGAGCGTTCCTGGTCGTCCTGTTGCGGTGGAGAATGGGCTCGTTGTGGGTGTCGTTCGTAACTTTGAAGGTCATTATGTGGCCACAGCGTTTCGTTCCTCAGTTGTTCGATTGGTATCGAGGATTCTCTGTCCGAGTGGCGAGTAGATTCGGCGATGACAGGCGAAAGGTTCTCCTCAGGAGGGGTGACCTGTCCATATCGTGCAATGGATGCGTGCGAGAGTAGTGAGGGTGGGATGGCGAAAGATTGGTTGTGGGACGAGCCAGGACCGCTGAACGCAGCCCATTTCTCGGGGGCCTGGCCCATTTGAGGGTCGTTGAGTGCGACGAACGCGTCTGTTGCCCAGTCAAAGGACGATGGTAGAGTCTGAATCTCCGTCATGATGGGCGGCAAGGGGTCTTTGATGCCAGGAGGGTGCAATTGGGCCTGCTTGCGCTGAATTGACGCTCGTTGGTACTGAAGGTGTAAACAGTAGTGCGTGCAAGGTAGGTGTTTGCTTGGTTGGCTAAGTGGAACACAACAGGTCCAAGGCTAGAGACTGGAGACTGATTACCAATGGATGGAGTAACAGTGACAAGTAGGCAAGAGCAAGCTGAGGTCTGAGTTCTGAGGTTCAAGGGCAGGTAAAGCCACGGGACGGGCAAGGTGATATGTGAACCGACCCACGCTTGACAAGGACCAATATGGCATTCGCGATAGCGCCCTTTGTCGAGATGCGAAAGCGCAGGGAATTGCATCTACCCGTTCTTGTCCAAGCGTTTAGGGTGGTTTCACTTCGCTATAACGACTGTCACGCAACGTTACTGCTTAGCCTGCAAATACGGCTGCATGTTATTTACCATGATGCCCTGCCAGAGCTCACCATATCCAACTGGGTATGGTTCTCAGACCAGAAAACACACCTCTTGTACGAAGCAACTCGTATCTGCTATCACATCGATCTGGTCAGTGCTGCCATGCAAAATACGAGTTCCTTTGTTGGCACAGTCGTGCTGCCTCTGTCGAACGATGTAATGATTCACATGTGGACATGTAATGTAAAACAAGCGCTTACTCATCTGTTACAGACTATGCCCCCGCTTAAACTCCGCTTTATGTGTCTTAAGGCAGCCGCAACGTCATCCCAGCCGTGTGGGTCCCGATCGCCTGCGGAATTTCGATCGCGCTGTACCATCCTCCGTCACAATCGTTTGCTGCTACAAACCACAGCGCTTGTTCCATGTTCTACATTATGAGCCGCTCTCATCTGTCCAACACGCCTGCAGTTGTATATTTCGTTATTGTTTCATTTGTTTATTGTTTGCAAGGTCGCGAACCAGCGCTTCCACCCCATAAGGTCCCTAACTGCAAATTATCTATCCACGTCGTTCCTGTGACACACTAAATCCAGTTGCGAGTTCCCAACTGCGACATTCATGCCGAGCACTTTGATTGGCCACGGTTCAAAATGGCTGCATCCTGCATAGGTATCATTCCTCGCATGGCCTAGACTCCAGGCTGGTACTTGATGCAGATCTACGCCTATTGGGAGAGTTCGCCGGCATTTGAGGTTTCGAGATGCGATAGGTATACCAGGACCAAAAATCTACTGTGGTGTTCCACCCAATAGAGAGAGCCTCTGGACCATGCTTTGCTACCAGGTCATTCACTGTATCGTAGGATGCTGATTGTTACCTTTCACAGCACCCTGTAACACGATTTTAGCCATAAATAACAGCGTCTTCGGTGGGATCTACGAGAAGACTTTGCTGCGTTTCGACCAGTGTTCGATAGAGTTTAGGCGAAAGTAATACTGATCCCCAACACCACCTGCGGGGAACAAACCAGGTTGTGTGGTTGAAGACTATCAAACAGGCTTTCAGGATAATCACACCACCGGTCGTTCGACCACAAAGGACACGGTCCAGAGCGAAGTAGCTATACGGGTATGCACGCAGGTCTGTTCATTGGCTCGAAGGTTGGTTGAGCTCACTCGAATGGCGGGGAGACTGGTGTCATGGTTCCCGTATAGCTACTCTGTACTGGGCCGCTTGTTCCTGCCACCATGTCTGGAAATAACGGTCGACCCACCTCTCACTATGTCATCCCGTGTCTTCCCCTACAAGTGTGACAAACGACGACGCAGATCTCCATGGAAAGTCCGAAGAAACTCAAAATCCCATCTTCCACGGGCACCATTATGGTCCAAGCGTCAGAAAATTCTGAACAATGCCACGATGCGCTTTGGAACTCGATTTGGCCCTTTCAAGTATAGATTAACGATGCCAAGGTCCCCATGTGCAGAGCTTACGTCGTTCTGCAGGGTCCAAGTGGGACACAGCGCGAGTCACGCAAAACACCTCCACATAAGTGGCGAGCACCGTGATTCCAAGTCTACCCTGGCGGGTAAATTGGAGGTCTAGGTCATTCGACAACGGCCGATATGAAGATGGCCGTTCTTGGCATCAGTAATGCTCAGTTGGCCGACTTGCACATGTGCGTTGAACTCTCTCCTCTCTATGTCCTGATTTTAACCGAATGCTCTTGCCGAAACGTATCAGGTCCATAGTTTGACCGCGTACATAAAGCCATACAGCAACAAACGAGCTCACTAATCACAACTTTCTACGGTACCGTTAGCCTGCGGGCCACGATCTTCTTCGTACAGCACTAAATCGTGCAAGTACAGTTGCTAACAATGCAACACCTTTGCAAGCATCCACATGCCAAGTCTTTCTGCGACCATGTCAGCCTTGTGTAGACTGCTACTGGTAGATCGATACAATCCTACCTCTGCGTCGAATACCCATCCACTCGGATGATTACCTTGATCCCTTGTATCAAGGGAGCGGCGTCCCTGTCTATCTAACGGCTAAGTTTACCGGTGTGGTGGATAACCTTGGAGGCTTACACAAACTCCCCAATGACGTAAAAGTTGCCTCGGACAAAAGCTCCGGTTTGATCGGCTCCACGTTCCAGACGAATAGCACAACAGCTACGGACGTTAATGCCGTTGCTCGGCACTTTGTGATTGCGCGTGGCAGCTGCAATGATTTGCGAGGAATATTGCTCCATTAGATACGCAACCGATGCTAAGATAGTGGAGCAAGATACTTGCATTCACACAGTTTACAGCTACAGCAGACGTTGGGTTGCGATTGAACACTGTTGGTGCGAACACCCTGCTTCTTTGATAGAACATGTCCTTGGCGCAGGGCTGCAAGCCACGGATACGGCAAGTCCACCCATTGTGTGAATATCAATCAAAACCTATTCATACATCAAAAGTCCACATGCATTAGCTATGAATGCAGCGTCTCCAGCATATGGAGATAGGCTGAGTATGTCAACTTTACAGCATGTGTCTGTATCAAGGATTACCATTGGTCAAGCATCACTCTTGATATCGTCCCCTAAGACGCTCGGCCAGATCAACAACTCGTTTACCGGGTGTGGCGTATGAGTCTGTTCAGCTCGGATCGATCTTCCGAACACCTACCATGGAATGTGACAGGTCAGAGCCAAACAAGCGGAGAACTGATCAACCCCATCACAGCACTGACATTGACAGGGTCTACCATGTAAGAACCACGCGGAGGTGGTTCGATCTTGTATCTGACCCTTGGCGAAAGCCCTACGTAGGGCTTTGCTCCATACATCATGACTGTCCAAACCTGGACGCGTATTGGTGCGGCGTACTGATTCCGCTGGAAAGACCGGCAATGACCGAGCGGGCTCGTGCGTACGTACATTATGATCTATTCAAACGTACCAAGTGCGAAGGCGATGAGGTCAGAAACTTTGTCTACAAGCGTTGCGGCGAAAACATTGGACTTGAAAAATGAATTATGTCTATATAACTTGTAGACAGCACCGACATTGACCTCGCGGATGCCATCAAAATGGAGCATGGCAGAACTGTATAGTACGAGTTGGAAAAGTTCAAATACAGTCTCTATGACAAATGGTATGAAAGTATCAAGATTAAATACTGTAAGCCAATAGCAAGTTCAATTAAAAACTACTTACCGTATGTAGGACCTTGCGTCTCCTCTGAGATGTATGGGCCCGAGATGTATGGGATCAAGAGTATGACTTGCCCCTTGCATCCCGCCTTAGCATTAGAAGCCCCCGAGCGATACGCTCAAGCCAACAAGACCCGTCTTTTAGCTATGACCCGCGACACTCGTTGAATTCGGTAGTGCTCTTCACTCCTCAAGATGGACTCGAAAGAAGATTACAAGCCAATTCTATCGCTCTTATCGCAAGACCAACCGAATGTGGTTCTGTAGAGCCACCTCAAACGTACCATTTGCAAGAGTAAAACCTCTATATGTGCGATTGTTACCAGCCTACTGTCGTTGCGGTTGTTGCTCGTAGGGACCCGGATAATCTGACCTAGCCTGTGATGGCTGATCCTGCGAATCATCTTGAGAATTAGGGGCATTCATGTCTGAATAATCGGCATCCGTATGTCCCAGAGGCACCGTTAGGTTGGGCCAAAGATCTTGCATGTTGACGACCGGCGCGCCCTGGTCGTAGCTAGTGATGAATGGGTTGCCAAAGGTCATGGGCGTGTGCACATGCGGTGGCATGAAGTATGGATTTTGGTATTCGGGGAGGTGATCCAAGGGCTGGTTTGAGAAGAGATGCGTGTTAAACGGCGCGGCACTTGTCATTGGGGATTCTAAGTAGTTTTCCTGTGGCCAGTGTGCCATTTCCTGTCTTGAAGGGTCGAACGAGTCCGGGAAGCCTGATTGGCAAGGTGTCTGCTGATCCGCCTCTTCGTCTTCACTGTATTTTTCGTCTTCGTTGTCTGAGTCCGAGTCCGATTCCGAGTCGTCGGCCAGTAGCTCATTTGCTCGAGCCTGCAGGTCCGGTGCACAGTTCTTTAGAATCTTCCAGACGACATCGTAGGCCCGACCCGCGACTGCATCATTGCTTCGCATAGCACGCAACCAGCGGATGAGTTTCTTTACACAGGCGAAGATTTCAGCGTTGTTGTTCTTGGACTGTGTTCCCTGAAATGCCATCTCCAAGAGAAGTACGGCAAGAGCTTGCATTGCTGGCATGGTATTAGCATAATCGTTTTGACCAGTGTGGAAGTACTTACTGTTGTGAACAATTGTCCACCACGGACCCGTCGAATACAAAAAAACTATGTCTGGCTCGTCGGGGAGTAAGTCTGTCATTTGTATAGCAGCATCGACGCAAGCATCTCCCGTTCTGGCGTTGAAATTTGCGGAATTGTGGCTCTCATGACGAATCCGACGCTCGGTCCTACATAGACATGGGCGCGTTATGAGTATCTTCGTGCTCCAATAGTACATTTTGAGCAGGAACCGTTCACGATCAGCTTCTTTCTGTCGGTCCGGCTTGCCAAGTTCGTTATCGCCGGAGAACACTGCCTTTGACCACTCTTCGAGTTCAACAAGCAGCTCAGTTATTCGATGTTCAAGGTACTGCAAAAAGCGTGGGTCAGTACAATTCTTCAGACAGGAAAACATATTACACATCTAGGAGTCTGAATTAAATTCATTGAGGGGCACCATACCTCCCAAGATCGTATAGCAGTCCGAGGCGAATATTCATTCAACAGAACCCTTTGAGAGATGAGTGTTATCTTGATGTGATCGACAAGATATTGGCCGTCAGTAGCTGTTCGTTGGTTCGGGTCCGAATGGTTGGTTGCGGCGGAATTTTGTGGCAAGCCGTGAACTGCACGCTTGCGGGAGCTTTGTCTTTCAGTGGCGCTATACCTGTTCTGCTCACCAGGCATTGTTTCAGGAAGAGGAGCAGTGCAATCCTCAATCGCAATAACTGGAGGCCGGCCTGTTATAGATGAAAGTAGACACTCGATGGAATGCAAGCTCCACCATATGCGCAACAGTGTCTCCTTATGGGAATGCTCTGCCACAGGGTCTTCGTTTCGAAGGTGCAATCCAAGTGCTGACGCGAGGCGGATTGATACTCCGATCATAATCCACGCGCGACTCACATGGCCAATCACCAAGAAATAGAGTGAGAGAAGGCCAGTCTGATGCATTGATGAGTATGTGAACGTGTCAAGTGTAAGGATCTGGGTGACACTTACAGTTTGTACGAGTAGTAGGTCGGGGCCCGAAATGAACATTATGGTGTTCTTCAATTCGAGAAGATGTACCGCTCGCGCCATATATATTCGGTGGTCACGTTCGTCGCCTCTCCATTCGGCGCCAATGAGATGAGAGTACCTTGCCCCGACTGCAAATATTAGATTCATCAGGGCGCGCCACTTAACGGGGACCTCAAATGTCTTGTGTTGCTTCGCTGATTGTATGAATCTGCGCAGTTGATCCTCGAAGCTACTTGGTATGATGGGAAACGAGGTATGTACCGTGCTCATATAGCAATCGATGAGTCGCTCTGCTGTTTCTAGGTCCGGTAGATCATAAGGATCGACTGGGAAATCAATCTCCATATTGTCGCTGTCAAGATAGAATGTCGAATCTGTAACGTTTTGCATAGACCCTGTCTTGGACGTCCGTCTACGCTCGTGGAGGGCGTTGGATCGCTCGTCAAATGCGTTTCGACTGTTGCCTGGAGGTCCGTAGGGCATGCCAAATGGTTCAGATGTCGCACGTTCTGCGTGGCGTGAGACCGTTCGTAGCCATTGAACTTCAGAGTTTTGCCCCACGTAACCAGTTTCTCTGGACTGGCGACTGCGCAGTAAATCCTCTTCAAGGTAATCAAGGTCCTCATTTGACCCGACCGATGCGGTGACATTGGCTTCCCCGAAAGAATCGCCTCCTCCGTCGCCGGGGGAAGAGTGCCTTCGGGAGCGTTTTCCGGTCGATCGAGGGGAGGCTTGCTTTGGTAACGTAGTGATCAAGTCGTCTTCGGCCTGTGAGAGAAAATATATGGCTTAGTCGTCTTGCTGTTTCACCTTGGAAGTGGTACTTGTGGAAGAAACCTACGTTTTCCAGTGCGTCTTCGATTCTCTTCTTGTCTCCATCGTTGACGTTGAGACTGAGATCCCGGAGCAATGATACAAAAGCTCCATTCAGTTCAGTTGCCCTATATCACTTCAGCGTGTGCCTTTGCACAACCAGCTCATCCAAGTCGCGCATACTCTCTGAGGCGGTCCCGGCGAGCCTGCTCATAAGTGCAGCTCAGGCCATTGACATGACAATTGGTGCAACGCGGTATATCGCCCGAACACCTGACCTCTGTGATAATGTCAGGCGGTTATTTCTGAAGGAGAGTCACGGATGACTCACTTCGTTTGCGGCAACTCTTGCATGCTCTCGCTCTGGGACTATATATTAGGGCATGGCTCAAGTCGGTAAGAAACACCTACACTCGATCCTCTCTGCTATTCGCGTTGGCCTTAGCCGGTGGCGGTGGTGGGCGATCCAGACGTGGGATGGCCATCTTGGGGCCCGGTCTGTGGCCTGCGGGGTTCGATGATTCCCTTTGCATTGCTGGGGCTGCCTCAGCTTGAAATCCTTGAACGTCCGGGCAAACTTCAAATCTTGGGCAGCGTATGCGTGCTGTGTCAGCCGGGTTCGGCGAGGGTGGCAAAACGAAACAACGACTTCAGATGCGCTCAGGTGGCGTGAGAAATAGATGCACAAGCCGTGATTTCGACCCAGTGTGGAATTGCGTCTGAGTAACTGCAGCTTCCTATCCGCTGATGAGTGAACCTGTAGTGTTTATATCGGCAAGTTGTGCCAGCCAACTGAAGCGAAGGAACTATTAATAAGCGCCAAACCAACAATCAAACCAATGAGCACAACGCAGTTAGTTCTCAAAACTCTGACGTTTGATCCTAGTAATGGTTATTCATACCTCTTTACCATGATCTCTCGTGTACACAAATGGCTTTGACACAAAAAAAGGTCCGATAAGGTGCATAATTGGGTTGTTAGGCGAGGTTGAGAAGGCGACTTTGTTGACACCTCACTACCCACGCGGAAGGAACAAGAATGTGCACCGCGGAAGGAACAACAACCTGCACCGCGGAACACAAAATCCTCGCCACGTCTGGCTTACACTAGGTTTGAACACTAAGTATACTTTTTAATTGTCTAAGGATGGCAACCGGATCACAATCACCCGTCAGTCACAGCGAAAAGTTATACTCTCAAGAGGCTGAAACGATATCACTAGGCGAAAGCTTTATGGTATCTCAAAAGCAAGAAGACTCAAAACTATAAGTCTTCTTTTTCCGTCTCTTTGATGTCCCTCCGAGCCGTCATTATGCAGTACTGTGGTATCCCCTGGGCGTTTTCCTGACTTACCACATCCGCACGGACGACCTGCATCCAAACCCTAGTAAACTAGAAGGCCTGTCGTACCTTTGGGAGCTAATCGCATCGGTTTCTTACCCTTAGTTCGATTGGGGAAAACACCAGTGGGATACCATAGTATGGTTCACACTTCAACATTAAGTAATTTTGGTGCTTTGCCGAATTTCACCTAGTTTTGGTGAGGGTACAGTGTTTGGCGGTGACAAGTCTTCTCGACGCGTGGCAACTACCTGTGCCTTCCCAGAAGCATGGGCTATTTGCCACACCTTCCAAGACATCCACAGATTGGTCAGAACAGTCTCAATCAACGATCCTGACGAATTGGAAATTAGCACAAAAGTGGAGAAGGTCTTACACTTCCGGGGAACCACAGTAAGAGAAAGAAGAGTAGTCATGATTTTAAACTTTCTATACCAGTAACATGTTGAGTAGTATTTGGAAAGTAATGTAGTTTAGACTGTTAAGGTTTGTAACTTTTGGCAGTGCATGTCATTAATCATTCTATTAACCCCGTTGATGTTTCCCCAAACATAGTAAAGCTAGGAAACAACTGCGATTGGCTCCACAATCAACAGCAGACCTTCGAATTTGCTGAAATCTGCCCGTGCAGAATGGCGATCTGGGGAAGCACCTACGGGATGCCACGGTAAACAAAGCTTGTCGTGTATTCAAACATGAGCAACTATTTGGTATACGACACCACAGCCATCTTGCCTTCGAAGACCACATATAGTGCTGCTAGACGGAACGGACCCTCATAATTCTTGTACAGCAAGTTCCTCAGTTACACACGCCTACACGTACAGAAACGAAATCGACAAACACTCTCAAGCCAGCCATCAATCATACCCTTACTTCTGCATGCCATCCACGAATTCCAACGCCGCCTCCCGCTCGACAACATCAATTGAACTCGTCTTGTTGGAATAACTCACACCATAGCACCGGTCAGCCACAAGCACCATCTCCGGCCGGAACGTCGTGCAAATGAACTGTCCGCCACCGTTCCCGTCCTTGCCGCCTTGTCCACTCAGCTTTTGCAACATGTTTGCTACCGCCGTACGATACTGTGCGTCAAGATTCGCATCGATCTCATCGAAAAGGTAAAAGGGTGCAGGATCACACTGCTGGATCGCGAAGATAAGAGCTAGAGCACACAGCGATTTTTGACCACCAGACAGCTGCCCGATCTTCTGCTGCTCGTCATGCTTGCTATTGAAGGATACAGCAATGCTGACGCTGATGTACTCTTCGACCTTGCTCCCTTTGCCGCGGCGCTGTGCGTCCTCGTCCTCGCTCTCCTCAACTTCAGCATCTTCGTCTGATTTGCGGTTGATGAGTAGGCGACCGGTGCCAATGGGCACAAGCTCCTGGAATACTTTCTGAAAGGCTTTGGCGACTTGGCGGAAAGTGCGGTTGATGGCTTCGTCTTTGCGCTGGTCAAGCACGTCGATGAGGTTTTCAATGGATTTGCGAGAAGTGTCGAGTTCAGCACGGCGATCAATGAGGGTCTTGCGTTGGCGTGTGAAGTTTTCGTATTGTTCGTACGCCTTCTTGTTGACATGGGCGAATTTCTTTAATGCTTGCGTGGCCTTGGCGAGTTCTTTTGCAACCTATCGATTCGTGTTAGTAGCTGCAAAAAGTACACATATACGAGTCACTTGCCTTCGCAGTATCCCATCGTCCGTATTTGCGGTCAACATCTTCAGGCAAGGTACCCAAGTCTCGAATATCTCGCTTGACGTCGCTCAGTCGGTCCGTGGCACGGCTGCGATCTTGATCTTTCCTAGATAGGTTCTTCTCCTGCCTTTCCATGGCCTTGGCAAGATCTCGATTGCTGTTTTCGCTCTCCGCTCTCGAGCTTTCCAGTTCACTCAGCTGCCCCCTGATTTCTTCGATCTGAGCATCGGTATCTTGAATCTTCGCGTCGAGATCCGCAATGGTCCGGTCAACGGCTTTTAGTGCTCGCTCGCACTCTCGTAGATGTGTTGATTGGCTCACGGAGCCGCCCGAGCCTCCTTGTTGTGCAAGCACATCATCGAGATTCGGTTGCAGATTCTCGTTGAGCTCAAGCTCGGCCTCAACCTTCTGTGCCTCGAAAGCAGTCCGCTCCTCCCTGATTCTTGCAAATTGCTTTTGCAAGTCGTTTACTGTGATGGTGAGTGTGTTCAACATCTGTTCTTCGTCTTTTGATAGTGTCTTCTTGAAGTCAGTTGCAATCTCACCCTCCCAGTCACTTTGTTGAGCACCGAGTCGATTGATGGCCAACTGGAGTTCCGAAGCTGCCGCCTGCTGAGTTGTGACCATGTCGCGTTTGTCTTGCAATGTTCTTTGCTTTGAGCGAAGTTCCTCTCGTAATGGCCCAAAGCTGCTCTCGCCATCGTTCTTCTCATGTTGACGTCGCCTGATTTCGCTCTCCGCAGCAGTGAGCTGCTGACGCTTCAAATCCAACTCCGTGACAATTTCGCGTTTACGTTGTTGCAGTCCCTCAAACTGTGTGCGGGACTCGGTGACTGTCCGATAGGCATTGATTCTGGACTTGGAGGGATCATGAAACCCTCCACGGTAAAGCCCCTTGCGCGAGGCGCTGTCGCCGTCAAGAGTGTAAGCTCGGACTCCTAGTTGGTTCGAAACACTCTTGCAAGTACTTAGGTCAGGGCAGATGACGATCTTCGCAAACACGTGCTTGAATGCAGTGTCGAAGCGCTCCTCATACGTCAGCTTTGGTAGTAGCGGTTGCATGTCGCCTCTTGGCTTCAAGTTCATATCAGTGGCTTGCACGCGATTCAGAGGGATGAACGTAAGCCGGCCACCTCTGTCTTTGATGAGGCGATCGATAATCTTACTCGCAACGTTGTCATCGTCGACGACTACATTGAAGAGCGTACCTTCCGCGGCGGCTTCTGTTACTGACCTGTAATGATCAGGCACTTGTAGCAGGTCGGCGATGGTGCCATGTACACCTGGGATTTCACCTTCTCTCATGTAACGACGAAGTGTTTCGAGTCCGCGACTGGTGTTTTGATCCAATAAGTGTGAGAATGTGTGCTCTGCGCGTTGAAGCTCCTGCTGGGCGGTTCGGAGCTGGCTGTCGGTTCGGGCTTCTTCTCGCTGAAGATTCGTCTGCTCGTCGCGCACCGCCTTGTATGCATCCTTCGCTTTCTCAACCTTCGCAGCAAGGGTTACTGTAGCATCCCCCTCATTTTCAATTGTGGATCGTATGTTGGCGATTTCAGTTTCGATGCGTTCGATGTCGCTTTGAAGCTGAGCAACTTCCTCGTTTGTCTGCACGAGAATGGCCTTGCGCTGGCTGAGGTCGGCATTGGTCTCGTCTATTTGTACGCGCAGGGCGTCGTCCCTCTGTCGCTTGTTGCTGTAGGCGTGGCCACGACCCTGCTTGTCTTGGAGGCGTTTTCGCTGACCCTCAGCCTCGAGCAGCTGTGCTCTCACAGCTTCCTCCTCGTCTTTCTTCGAGTTGTACTGGGGCAGGATTCGCTGGAGTTCGGCCTCACGGGTGCGTATCTGCTCGCGCAGAGACTTGACCTGTGCGTCGCGATTTTTCTTGGATGTCTGCGCAGCCGACTGGTTGTCTTGCGACGACTTCAATTCCAATTCGATCTTGGCTTTCTCGAGTGTGGCCGCTTTGCGATCTTTCTCGTATTGGACACGATCTTCGCGGAGAATGTCCAGATCTCCTCTCCGCCTGTTGATTTCCTTGTCGATTTGCGCAATCCTGTCTTCGTTTTGCTTGAAGACAGCCTCATTGTCCTCGCGCGTTTCGCGGCCCTGATGTTCGAGGGCATCGATGCGCTCAATCTCAGCCTCAAGCTCAGCCTCCTCGCGCGACTTCATGGTGTAGATGAGGGATCTTCTCTCCCTGTCGTTCCGGCTCCAGGCCTCTAGCTCTTCCTTCTCTCCCTCCAGTTCGTCCAAGCGCTCGTTGATTGAAGCGACGACGCTGTCGATGTTGCTGCACTTGCTGTCCGTGTCGCTAAGCAGCTTTAGACTGTCGGCGCGTCGCGTCTCGTAGACGTTGGAGCCCGATATCTCCTTCAGCAGCTTCAAGCGTTGCGTGTCCTTCATGTTGGTGAGGGCTGTGACTCGGCCCTGGGGCACAATGTAGTATGGGTTGGAGCGCGAAAAACCAGCCGACTCGAGGATCTGCTGCACTTCGGCCCTGGTGGCGTTCTTTCGGTTGACCGAGTATTCGTCCTTCTTCGCACCAATTGTACGGCGCAGGAAGAACTCGGGCTTGCCTGTCTGGAAGCGGTCCTCGGTGTTGTCGAAGCACACCTCAACGTAGGCGGACATGACAGCTGAGCCAGAGCCCTCGTGCAGCAGCGCCTGGCGCTCTTCACGGCTGAGGAAATGGTAGTCGTCGCCAAGCACGAAGCGCACGGCGGCGAAGAAGTTGCTCTTGCCTGAGCCATTGCGGCCGACGATGACGTTGCAGTTGGGCGAGAAGGGCTCGATTTGCATCTGGTCCTTGTAGCTGTGGCCGCACACATTAGTCAAGAATCCCTCAGGCGTAGCCGTGTTTCTCACCTCTTGAAGCCCTGGATGGTGATCTGCTTGATGTACCCCATTGCGGCGGCTGAACGCGATCAAAGCGCGCAAATATATTGAAGCGTAGTTCTGTGTAATCGCGACGTAGAAGAACTATGTGCTCGCGTCAGCACCTCTCAGCACATGGCGGGGCCGTGGAGAGCGTGGTGAGTAGCTTGCCTGAACTCTCGTCCTCGACGCGTTGCGCGACGCGTTTCTGCCAAGACCACACTAGTGTTTATTGTCCACACCCTCAGTACCGTATACCGTATAAACTTGTTTAATCCGTAGATAGCTAGACAGGGGTTGTAGCGAAGCGAGTCGACATGCGAGTGGTGGAATAAGCCCAGCCACTCAGCCACTCCAAATGCCCGATCGCCAGAGGACTCGCTTCGCTACAACCCCTGTCTAGCTATCTACGGATTGAACAAGTTTATACGGTATATCCCATCATCATCTTGCGTGTAGTCTTTCACTAGTTTGACCCAGAGAAGTCACCGTCAAACACTTGTTTAGTTTACCAACATCTTAGTTGACACTACCCCAAGTTTGTTGACAATTTATCAATCCATTCATCTCTCGAGTGCAAGTAGCTCCGAATTTGACCAGAAGTTGTACTCGGTATACTTTGGCTCTGTTTCGAGGACACAGTGTGCTTAACAGATATCAGTTACACAGGGCTCGCGGCTTCGGTACATCTCACGTTCAGAGCTTACGCTATTACAACCAGTATCCAACGTGTAATCGTTTTCTAATACGATTCGAACCGATCAAATCGAGGTCAAACACTTTGTATTTGCCCTTTCGTCCTCCTTCTTCCTCCAAATCTCATTCACACCATGGCGGACTCTGTCGACCCTCTCGATGTTCATACGCTGTATAAGGCTTTATGTATGACGTAGAGACCAGGCACCCACGGAAGGAACCGAGACACTACATCACTTCATGCACCCCACTCGTTTTCTAACCAGGAAACAGATTCCGTCCCGTCTGTCCCGTGAATTCGGTAGGACCGCAAGTGCATAGCAAGGGCTAAACCCTCTTCTCTCCGCCGGCTGTTCGATATCGAGACTAGCAAGCCAGAAAACAGACACATCTTCTCTTCTCAGGCTCTTTTGAGGGCTGTGCAGAGTCTTGAGCTGCACTTGCCTGCGATGTAGGGCTCATTGACTCATAGATTCGTGCATCGAAGCATCGTGTATGCCTTTCGTCCTTCTACTGCGCATTGCCACTATGGGTCCAAAACGAATTCAGCCTGCACTGTCAAACCTCGATCCTTGGGCCAGCGGCCAAATTTCAGGCCCCTGAACTCTGTCCTAACTAGCAGCAAGATTAGGCGCATTTTCATGCCTAAAAGACGCCACCAAAGCCCCACAGAAGCTGTTCCTGCCCCCGGCACCCGCGATACAGGGCCGCTGACTACCAGAATAAGGCAACTCAATGTGCTTGTAGAATATCCTGAGCCGACTTTATCACGCGAGGCCACTTACGATTACTTCACCACTTCACACTAGTAGCCTCAGGCAGGACGAGGGTCAGTCATCAGTCGTCATGGATGAAGGTTGCGACTATGAAAAAATGGCAACAATCAGCTGGAGAGGTAAGTGTCAAGAAACGAAAAGGTAAAATAGCACACGGCAAGAGAGCTCGTACACCTTTCTTCTCGTGGCCAAAGAGATGGAATAGGGTATCTACAAGTGATGCGACGCTTGAACGTTTCCCAGACCCCAAACTGCAACGCTATACTAATACAACAAGCATAAAATGTCTGGAATGAAAACGACTCGCGAAGAGACGAACATAGACCCAGTAGTACAAATCCAGCAGAAATCCAAAAACGCCAATCCGATATCCGCCAAAGCAAAACTCCCAATTTCGCCATGTCAATGTAACTACATGCGTCAGCACAGTGCCAGCTGATAATCAACAAACCATCTACTTACGTCTTTCCATTCGTGTTCTCCTTCTGTAGGTTTCCCACCGGTCTCCCCCTAATTCATCTTCTGTACAGTCGTCCACGTCCTACAACATTCCAACATCCAATGGTTGGAGCAAAACGGACAACTCGCATCAATCGCAACGCTATTGTTGTCATGGCCACAGGCACAACACTTCCACCTCTTGTCGTGGTATTCCAATTTGCACTGGGGGCACTGGGCGTGCTGACGCTGGCAGTCGCAACGAGGGCTGCGGTTTGGATTGCGTCCGAAGCCGCATTGGCAGCAGTATACGACGTAGCCCATGATCAAGGTTGATGGCGGATATAGTAGGGTGGTGGTCTTAGTCGATGAGTATCACAGGAGTTCCAGGAGGATACGCTGGACTCGAAAGGTGGATGATATTCAAAGTATCCGGCGTTGGAGCAAGAACTTTAGCAGACGAAAAGTCCTGAAGAAACGTAGTATCGCAAGGGGTATGATCAGAAGTGAGGAGGTATGAGGAGGTATGAGTAGTTTCGAGGATAGTAATAAACCGTCGTGTACTCAATCCAACAGATGGACAAAAGAGTAAGCCAAATCACACTCCTTATATCTACCTATAGAAGGACTCCGCAGTCCCGTTAGACAACGCTCACACATGCCTCCCGCACCGCCACATTTGCCCTGTTGCCCTTTTGCCCCAGGACACAATCTCCCATTCCCGCACAACACCCCAGTCCAAGTCCCGCGCTCGCCCCGTGCAAGACGGTCCCGTGGAGCTCGTAAGCGCCACGCCGTCACAACGCAAGTTGCACACAAACGCATGACAAAATTGCGTAGTACTATTGTGCCGTCTGGGGCGGGATCAAGGGGTAGGTAGACCATATGATCGCGCTTGGTGTGGCGGTGCGAATAGAAGGACGCAAGGCTGCCTGGCCGGACAAGGCCGCTCCCAAGCTTTCTTCCTGAGGCTTGATTCGACGCGGCTTATTTTTTGGCGGCGGAGAGCCTTGCCAAGAGGGTCCCCCGGGGCTTGGGACGCGTGACGGTGCTTCAATCGGGTTGCTGGGTTGTTGAATTGCTGGGGGATGGTGAGATGGAAGATGGATGTGGCATGTTTTCGAATTCAGCTTTTGGAAGACGTTTAGTGGCGGAGTGATGGGTTCGTGGTGTTTGATAGTATCTCACATAGTAATCTACGTGTTTATGGATTTGCAGATATGTTCTTATTTTCCGAATCGAGGGTCCAGGTCTGATATGCTGGGAGGAATTGGAAAGAGAGAAAGTTGAGACAACAATCAGATCAGTAGCGAACCAAGGAGACAACCGCACAAGCTAGGGTAACTTTCAAATGATGATATTTCAATTGTCTGAACCCTAAAGATGCGAACCTTGCCTCGAGCAAGTTGGAAAAAGAACCGCGCCAATAAAACATAACACCGACCGATGCCTCGCTGAGATGCTCAGAGTAAACCAAATCATACCACTATCGTAGAACTACAACAACGAAAGACAATACGGGAACAAAACACGCCCATCTGGGAAGAAACCCGTCCAACCAGACTTCATACAAAAGGGAAAGGGCCTGCGTCCAGCCGTCGAGACCCAAAAAGCGACGTCGTGAATAGGTCGAGGTGTAGAACCAGACAACCAACACGTGAAGTAGACTCGACGAAGCGTCTACTATAGGTGCATCGTCGTTGTTTCGGTCGTTCCGAAGCAACGAGAGGTTTGCAGAAAGATCGGTCGATCGATTATTTCTTCTCAAAGCACACCGCGCAAGCTGGCTGCCAGTCACCGTATGGTCCATCGCCACAGTGTGTACAGTACCAGACCACCTCTCCGTCTGGATCTGTAGGGGCTTGTTCGAAACCAGGATCCATCCATGTAGCGATGAATTCATCGGATGTGTAACGGTGTGGTGAAGTGTGCTGGGTGAAGAGAATATCGGCCGAACGTGTGACGCTTGATGTACGAAGGAGCGAGTGGATTGTGCTGGTTGTATCACGTTCCTCGTGGAAGCCGTGTTGATGTGCATGCTCGTAACTCGTTGGAGGTTGGGTGTCGTACTGGACGTAGACAGATTGTAAAGTCGACATAGCAGCCATGATGATGATTGTTTAGATGGACGTGGTAGTGTTGAGATATTGCAGTTAGATGAGCAGTGGTAACTTAGAGTAGGTAAGGGTGTGATGGTAAGTAAGGAGCATCGTACTCTGGAGCCTCTTATATCTGAAAACAACTACAGCTTGGGCCATGAATTCACCACCTACTGCGCCCTGTAGCAGTCAGTGACGAGCGGTCAAGGAAAAGAGAAAGTTACGAGCTGGCCGCTAGGGTGAGGCAGTCTGCAGGCAGCAATTTGGAGGATACAAGTCCTTCTGACGAAGCACAATAGCCGGTCGGAGGCGATACCGAATAGAAGGAATGAGGTAAACGTTGCCCAAGAGGCCCTCTCGGTGTCGAGATCTAGAATCTAGCCATTGGGGTTCTTCGATGGGAAACGCCAGAATGAAACGGGAGGCCGGGCCCTGAAACGAAGAATTAGTTCAACTTGCCAGTTTCAGTTGATTGGAAATCCGCACATTCTGTTAGCCACTGACTGGTTGTGGCTGAGTGTTCAACTGAACCAGGGGGGTGAAGAGGCCACCAGTTGCCTTGATTTTTCTACGATCTTGACTGGCAGGTCAGTGACGTCCTTCGGGAGCTAATATCGCGTGTACATACTCGTATAGTGTATGGCAGGAATACACGATTGGCAAAGAATTACTCCTCGGCCAAAAATATTGTAGGTGCGCTAGGTAAGCGTCTCGTGGACCTTTGTGACAAGTTCCATCGATGTCTTCGCCGCCAAGGCCATAGCCAGGTGACTCGATGATAAGCATGTCAAACGAGTAATCGGTGTTCCGGTGGAGGGTGGTCTTCCTTCTTGCGCTTTCCAGGCGGCCGTACCGGTGTGCTTTCTCTGTCCTCAGGCTGGTGGGTAGTACACAATTCTTGGCGTGGAGGTCCTTCGTGCTCCGCCACGGTGTAGGCCAGTGCGTTGTGGAGATGGATTGTCAACCCGATCTGTGCAATTGAATCATCTGGAAACCGAAGATTGTTGGCTTGTTTGTCATGATTAAACTTGGCTACGTTGCCGGCAGAGGGTTTGTCCTGGATATTTAGCGTTCTCTGATCGTTCCATCAAACCACGGTGAAAGAATGAGACAACGTCGCTACAAAAGATCAAGACTGTTTAAGATAGTATCTCCAAATCCTGTGCTAGGAAAGAAGCTCGCAAGAATGGAGACTGGCCGCGGGAGCAAATAGACCAGCATGATGAGAAAATAAATATTGTTATAACAAACAACTAATAGCACAAAATTGATTCCAAAAAAGTACCTAATCAGACCATGAAACAATAACCAACGTAACATGCTGAGCATGCCAAATGGGAACCTTCCAGATAGCAAAGTGCGTCGACCAATGCACGCTTGCTAAGTTGACAGGAGGAGATCCACCAAACCCACGAATGTGGTAATACCGATAGTGAATGAGCGTGCCAGGGACATGGACACAATCCAAGTAGGATGCCGTCACAGAAAACCAGGTCCAGGATGTGCAAGCGCGACATGCAACAAACCCAACTAGAGTGCAAAACTGAATTGATGATAAGGATAGACGTCGCTCATCGTGTAAATGTAGGTCTTGGAGGACAGTCAGGTTGTGCCGTTCGTTGCTAAATTCTGGAGTTTGAGCGATGATGAGTTTAATCAACTCTCCTCCACTCGACAATTTGAGTCCCTCTTGTGGTTGCAAGCCACACAGGCGGGCTGCCAAACTCCAATGGGACCATTACCACATCCGCAACAGTACCAAATTCGTTCACCATCCAACGGCGCGCTTCCGAATGTATCGTCTGGTTCGTCGTGGATGACCTTGCATACGGTAGTGATATTGTTGTAGTTGTCGTAATAGTGAATGGACGTGATATCTGGAGAGAGCGAGTCGAGAATTGCTGGGAACATTGATGGTATGCGAGCAGCCAAATTTGCGGGTACGAGAGCGCAATTATTCTCTTTCATTGTCGGTGTGAATCGGAGAACCTTTGGCTGCAACGTTGCGAAACCGGATTGGATGTGTGTGAAACACAGAATGAGAAGAAAGAGGGCGAGCTTTTGTTTTTGAGGAAACGAGATGAATGTGAAAGGATGTGAGTTGAGTAGCAGATTGACTGAAATGTGCTGAGATGTGCTGAAGTGAAGATACTTGGAAAGTAAGCATATTGTATGTTAACGAATACCTATTCTTTTGAAGCACCCTGCAAAAGCCCCAAGGACTTCACGAGACAACGAGGGACCTATGAGCTGAGAACGAAGGCATACATCAATCAGGCAGGCGTATTACTGAGGCAGCAAAGCGTACTCGGTCAAGAACACAGACTAACAATGGCCACCAAAGGGCCAGCATAGGCCAGTTCCGACGATGACGACACTTGCGTAGCGAGGGCCTCGTGCAATCACGCGTGGATCTGAGCGTTTGTCGGAGTGAAGCGACAGGTCCTGCTGACAAAGGCAGAATTCATGGTGGCCTTAGTGGATGGAAGGCGAAGCCCTTTCGCCCTATCGACGTTGGTATAACAGCCTGCACTTGTGGCGTCGAGCGTTGATTTGTGCGAAGAATCTGAGTGTCATGCTAGGCGACGGGTCTTGGTATTCCTCTAGCATGTTCAAAGTGATCACGTTTGCGGATGCCAAATGGGGCCATCACTTTGAAGTTAACCGTTTGCCTGTTTTGCCTGATGGGATGTAGGCGTGTGGCGTATCTGAATGAAGTTAACTCAATCTCTTAAGCCAGAGCACATGATAGCTATGCTTTTACTTACTCAAGTGGCGAACTCGGCCCCTCGTCTGGCCATGAGATCGAATCGAGGAGTTCTGTGAACCCCAACACGGATGGTTGACATCGGCCGATGAAACACACCTGTTGACTAGCGCAGACCGTTAGAGTAGATCTCAGGTCAAACGTCAGGCCAACCTCAGCTAGCTCCAAACATGAATATTATCTCTTGGGTAAAGAGTCTTGAAGACATGACTAGTCTATATTTGAGAGTGGTGAATGATACAAAGGTTCTTTGCATGATACATGAAGGTGCCGACGAGGTTCCAATCCGATATTGATCTCTCGAGGAAATCTATCCAAAATGATGCTACAACGATTGTTCTTGCTGCATTGACTGTGATCTTTTGTTTAATCGCCGTAGCCGTAACCGTGTGGCAAAGACCGAATTGTGTATTGTCCATGAAAGCCATGGTCCCTCGCTCTACGGCCAACACTGTGAACGGTCAACTGTCTGACGGGGAGGCAGGACAAACCTAATCGTCGTACGTTTTGCCCAAGGCTGAATCGGGCTGCACTCCTAGGGGGAAAAGTGGATCTGCCCGTTCGGGTTTGCCAGTCACTGGTAGTTGCGGTGAGTGAACTGCTGGTCGACAACTTCACACTCCCAGGGCGCAGCTTTTATATCTCTTGAATACCTTTTCAGAGCCTTGCAGATCAGACGAGACTACCAGGGCGTCTTCACATAGGAGATGGTGTTGCCATGCATACACAATATGCTCTCGAGCCCACAGAACTGATAAACGATATGCAGCTGGGGGCCAGAAAGTAGCCAAAACTGGCAACAAGTCCTTCAAGTTCCCGGGCTAACTCGTGGAAGGGCGTTTCGAGGGAAGGCTGAGCATCGCGGTGAGCTTGTTGGGCTAGCCTTTGAGCGGCCTCTTAACATGGGTAGACGAGGAGAGTGCGGGTGTGGTCAAGTGGTCATCTTCAAGGCGCTGGCTGCCGTCAAGTGTGAGGGAAGATCACAGAGAACCAGAGGGAACAGCAGGAAGGCTGAGCGATGAGGTATGCCTTGCCAGACTGTTGAGGGGTGACGCACGCCATGACTCGATCGCAGCATGCTGGCTTGGCCCGCTTTCTGAAGTTGTCTGAGAAGAGGAGTGTGAGGCACCAAGGCTGGGTTAAACAAGGCTGAAATGCCACATGTGGAGCGTTGCTCGAGGCCGCGATGAGCAACAACGACTCACTGTCAGAGTTTCAATTGCAAGGTTGACCTATGTTGTGGGAAATGACGTTCTACTGCCAAGCCTATTTGCCAATCACGCCCAATCAACAACTCCTCTCAAACACCATGGCAGCGCGCGATCGCCAGCCTCCTCGGCGCGACCCTCAACGTCGCTCATAGCCTCTCCTCTGTCTGTGATCACCTCCCATCATGGCGCCCTCGGTTGCGGGCTCGCAGAAATCGGATGCGCGCGATAACACAGCCGTCGAGCAGGGCGTTGGCCAGGCAGCGTCCGTCATCGTACCGCTCATCGAACTGGGCGCGATCGCTTTCGAGACGTGGGTTCTGGTCTACCTGATATGCGTCCAGTACCTGATAAACCCCTCCAACGACCTACGGCAGAATCACAATATCCAACCCCGACGATCGACCGGCATCGCGCTCATCGTCCTCTATGCCCTGCTGCTCCTCATATTACTGATTGCTTGGATGCGCCTCGTCCAAGTCATATGGTCCAAGCAAGACCTCACTCCGCTCGGCGATATCTCTACCGAGAAAGGAAACACAAAAGCGAAGTGGGTCGACGAGTACGACGCGTACGTCTGTGACTACGAGGGAAAGCCGCTCTGGTGCGACAAGTGCCACAACTGGAAGCCGGACAGGACGCATCATTGTAAAGAGTTGGGACGTTGCGTAAGAAAGATGGATCACTACTGCCCTTGGGCTGGGGGCATCGTAGCCGAGTCTAGTCATAAGTTCTTCCAGCAATTTGTTACCTGTGGCTCCTTGTATACGCTATACTCCCTCATCGTAGCTGCGGCATTTTTCAGCGATCGCGCATCCAAAGTGAGTCAGACGTCATACATACTAGAGGAGGAGCGTGAGAGCTCGAGTTGTGCGCGGGATCCACCAGGCCTCACGACTCGGTACCGATGAGATGCTGACTCATCATAGATGAACTCTCGACCGGGAACATGGATAGCGGCTCTTGTTGTCCCAGTAGTGTTTTTCATCTTCGGCTCCACCATGGCCTATATGACGGGCTACAACCTGATGATCAACTACACATCTGTGGAAGGCATCCAGCGCGGTGGTATTCACAACATTGCCTTCCTGATATCACGAATGCCGCGCGATCGTAGCGTCCCACCAACCCCTCCTACACCTTCCAAGGACGAACCTGATAATCTGGTACCCCGTGAGGATTGGCCTGTTCTTTGCACTGTGCAGCCCAGTGCTGGACGTACATATGTTGTAATGCAGACCAAGCCTTATGAGCATCCGTGGTACACAGGGCTTATGAAGGGCTGGAAAGACACAATGGGTAACAGCCCAATCGACTGGTTTCTGCCGACTAAAATGAGTCCATGCAAGCAGAAGAGTCGAAGAGGAGAGTTTGAGTGGGGCGAAGTCGTATACGACATGGCGAGGCAGTATGAGAAAGATAACCCGGGCACTCGCCTGTCAATCCTTTCCTAAGTCTGTTGTTTCTATAATTACTCTAGCATTTTTCTGGCGTCTTGGATGTGATACCCACGTACGTATGTATTTAGTGGAGCGGACACGCGATTATCTTTGTATCCACGGTTAATATCATGCTCTCGACTTGAGGCCAAGATTCTTACTCAACCAAACTTCATTATGTTTTTTTCAGACTCCCGTATCGGGCAGCAATTCTGCGCGAGACCGCTAATGGCGTAGCTCGACCCTTCTTACTCTGGACATCGGACCGTTTCGTCGCGTCTTCATTTCCCCGTTTAGCGGTTCCATTTATCGTTTCGTATCCATTTTCTCGCCCAATCAAACTCTCAAACTCTTTAATTCGGGTGCATTACCCCGCCGTTTCTCGTATTGCACGATGGTCAAACACTCAACGGCTCGTCGAATATCGCGAACCACTGTTGCCCACAGCGTGATGACGAAGCGCGGACTTGGAATTTCTTCGATGTGCGATTGAGCAGTACTGGTACGCCATTGGAGATAGTGGGGATGACGATGCGTCCGGTTGAGAAGACGCTGTAATAATGAGAATGGCCTGCATCGCGGGCACGGTCTTTATAAAGAGCAATAACATGGTACCAATATGGATCGGTGAGGACCAGGTGCTGATAATGAGGCGTTCTCAACGAGGTCTTTGGTACAGTTTGCGGGCTAGTATGCAAGGAGTCTAATCTTCTGATGCTTAAACAAGCGTTCCTGAAAGGAGTGGTTTGCTTTTCTTTGGGAAAATGGTTACCTTGGCGTGTCGTTCCTACGCCCAAAAGTGTATACCATGTTCCAGGATAGATTGTACAAGCAGAGCAAAGAGGATGTGTGCGAGTCAATGCAAATGAGGAACCGCAATCTCTTCCTTCTCCACCGCCCCTCTCCCACACGGTCTGATCTCGGTCATAATAGACATGCAACCTGATAAGCTGCGGTTGATCGCCGACGACTTGGTTAGTTACCCTTCGGCCCGCTCCCTAACTATCTCGCTACATGTAGATCACCCACAGCCCAGACCATTCCCATTTGCCGTGAACCCTGCCTCTCAAACCAAGGGGACGCAAGACACCCCAGCGACGATCGCGCAAGGGTCCATCGTCACTTCGCTCCATCGATGCGATGCGATGCGATGCGCGCGTCATCTGCTTACACTCCCTTTCCTACCAGTCGTCATCATCACAAGCGCTCAGTCTTCAACTCGATCCTTAGGCTTCCAGCGACCCAGCCCATACCCACGCAATATCTAACCTAACCCAACTCAGACGGATCAGCCAACCAAGCCCAACTCCCCACCCAACACGCGGCCCCCAATCCCATCCTATCCCATCTCACCCCATGCCTCCCTTTCGGCACGTAAAACAGCAAATAATCTACATGTCCCCCTCAAGCCTCATCGCAAAGTGCAAGCCTTAATGCCTGGAAAGGGATTAGGTAGCAGCCCAAACGCCGCATGCGTGTGTGTGATGCAGATTGAAGCGACTCAGACTGACCAACCAACCAACCAACTGAGCACTAGTGCCATGCCATGACCCATCCAATATGTTAGAATCTGGTCGAACAAAAAATAGCGAAGTCTAGATACTTTGACCTACTCTTACAGTCTAGACGCTAGTGCATCAACGCACTATGGAGATCACCAAGGCCTAACGAGGGGAGTGTACGAGGTGCAAAACGACCTGGCTGTTGAAATCCAAGCCCGCCATACGACCAGCTCACCGAAGAATTGGGCTGATCAAGCAATGTCAGTGCAGTGTCCATAGTCTTGTCACTTGCAATGTTTCAGTCACGCAGTATGGCAAACATGAGTTCATTACAGCACCTGCTGCAAGGGATTATATTACTACCACATGTGATCCCCCCCTGAGCATCAAGCAATTCGCCACTGTACGCTCATGGGTTGGGCAAGACTATCTTGATCGATAGTGCTGACGAACTAGAGATTCGCAGGAAGAGCAGAGATACGGGGACAGGGACCACAGTACATGACTAGAGCATGCAACTACCCTTGTTTGGCCTCTTGCTTGGCCTCTCGCTCGCGCTGCTCCTTCTGTGGGGCACGACGCCGAGCGTTGATGAACCAGTTCGAGACCTATTAGTAGTTAGCATCTGGTGAACTGAATGAGGGCTGCTGAGGGACCGAATCTGCGAGAACCAAGGGAACAATGACACTGCTACATATGCCAACAGCACGCTGAAGACAGAATGTAGCTGCAGTCAGAGACAGGAGTGGCAGACGTAGCAATGTGTAATGACTGTCAAATGCCACACCCCCGCAGAAACGTAAAAGTGACTACATACCTGATTCATTGACAGGCCGGTTTGATGACAGAAGGCCAACTTCTGATCTTCGGTGGGATAAGGCGACACCCGGTTTGCAGCGAACCACTCTTTCATGCGATTAGTGGCTTCTTTGGGAAGGTTGCCTCGTCGCTTCCTGGTGAAGGCATTAGGGTCGTGGCCAATGTGCTGGTGGAATTGAACGTCGTACGGTTGCGATGGGTATCCAGGTTGGTAGCTAGGACGAGCAACTGCGTAGACAGGCCCACCACCCATTTGGAACATGGAAGGATGCACTGGTGCAGAGGACGAAAGCCCATCACCCATGTGATATGTGGCATAAGCTTGAGATCCTGGAGATGTGGGCTGATGACCGTGAGATACTGTGGATGTATGTGCAGGATAGGGTACGCTTGAACGCTGGTGGTGGTGATGCTGCTGGTCCTGCGGGCTTGTCCCATTTGACGCAATTTGAAGCAAGCTGTATTGTGAGATAAGGGCAGGGTCGATTGCAGAACTGCTGCGCCGGGGGTCTCTAGATGAGTACTCCGGATGATTAGACGAGCGCGCGTAGATATCGCCGAGAGTGTCATGGCGTCTCCGCCCAGGGTCTTGCCAGGCAATGTCATCAAATTTTGGCGGAGAAGTGGGAGCCGAGCCTAGCTGGCGAGATGGTGTCCGTGGTGGTGTTGGTACGCGGGTGGTGTGGAGGAACTGGGCGGTTTAGCAATGGGACTACGATAGGTGATAGGAGTGTACGTACCTCTGTGAATGATGGGAGCCTGGCCGCGAAGTGTTGCTCTCCAGACTGCACTGGGGGCGTGCTGCCTTGACGATTCTGTGGGCGATGAGCTTTACGTTCTCGTCTCTCGGCTAGGGTTGTCCGTCCAACGCTGTAAACGAGTGTGACGGAACGCCTAAAGGGGTCCACGTAGGGGTAATCATCCCCATGGTGGGGATGCATCTGGGGGAGACGGGGAGGAGATGAAGGAGGAGGAGGAGGCGTAGGAGGAGGAGGGAGTGTAGGAGGAGGGGGAGGGGGAGGAGTAGGATGAGGAGGAGACGCAGCAGCGTATGGAGGAGGAGACGCAGCAGCGAAAGCATGCTCTTGACTTACCGCAACAGCCACGTTTGCGGATGTTCTCTCAGGTGGGTTTGAAGACGACATCCTGTTTGAGTACAACGGGTTACGATGGCGATGCGGAATATCTTGCAACGAAAGATATTCCATAGGTGCGGCGCAATCACTGCTTAAATACACTCTGACAACTGTGAGCATCTGTCTGCACGTTTACTGGAACTCGAACCAAGGCTCATCAGTGACTAAGTGATTAACTGACGGGAGACATTGGTCGATCCATGTCGAGAAAAAATTATGATTCTACGGAACCAATGACCTAGAAACTGATCTGATGCACTTACCTAAAAAAACGGTGACGATGGGCAAAACGGTTGTTGGATGGGCCAGCCTGTAAAACTGGGAGACAAAAAAATTATGAACCACGGTTGTGGTTGAAACGACCACTGTCCAGAGGATATCGTCGGGATCAACGAGTTAGAGCCGAGAAACCCAAGCACAAGTGGACCGTGGATAGTGGATATGTTATGTCGAAGTTTGGGAGCGAGCGGGGAGATGGGGCTGGCACAGACACGCAGCAGTTCGCAGTCAGGTAGACAAGGTGGTGATGACGGGCGCAAGGCGCTTAAGAAGCAGAAAGCACGATGAGCAAAGGAGGCGTTTCTGGGCGAAGCAAGACTGCAACGGGCCGTACTTCAACCATGCGGCGCGATCTTACTTCTGGACAACGCTCCAGGGGAATGCCAGCAGGTGTTAGCGGAGCACAGGCGGCGCGTCTAGCACGACGTCTGCTCTTTTGACAGGAGATTTAGGCTTTGGCCTAATTCTCCGACCGTACACAGCGTGGGCCCAGGAGCCCTCGCCGCAGAAGTAGCAGACCGGCATCACTGCAGATCTTACTGCGTCTGACTCGGCGTAGAAACATGCAGGAGCCTTCTCGACCCATCATTCACCATGTCAAAGCTAGCTGATTACCTCATCCGGGCTCCCACACATTGGCCGCCGCAGAGAACCCGTCAACGTTCCTCCGCGAAGACAGCAAGCGGCGGCCAAGGCGCGACTGGTCTTTCAGCCACCGTCTCACGCCTTGCTCGCTGCCCGCTCTGTGCCCAAAGAAGGAACTTTGGTCTTGGCATGTGGGTCGCGAATCGCGACGACCTGCCCGCGTACGAATCCTTCCTAGGTATCAACCTCTGCGTACCAGGATCGTGGCACGGGGCCAGTATAATTGCTTGTATTTCAGTATGCAAATGTGACCTAATGTGAGCAGGGCTCAGTTGGAACATGACCATGGATGAGTCGAGGGGCGGTTGCAGCTGGAACGACATGGCCATTGAACTACTTTGGACCAGGACGGAGGACAATCCGGCCATGGTGGCATGTTGTGCTACACTGGAGCCACGCTGCCGGCTTCAGCGTAGATATTGCGGCGCAGAGCTGCCGCAGGCCCAAACCAGTGGCTGGTGGCTGGTGACTAGTGATTGGCAAAGTGTGTAGCAGTGCAACGGAGCCATTCCAGCATCCAGGAGCGGGAGACTTGCTGTGGTATCGCGAATAGGGACGCGGCTAACGCTGCGGCAGACAGGTTAGAGATGGGACAAGGGAGAAAGGCGTTCGCCCGGGGGTACAGGAATAGGAACAGCTGCCAGTCGCCATATCAAGGCGATCATCACGACGGCGACATATGCCTGCCCTTAGCACGAGTAGAGGGGACCCGAAGACAGCGGACCCTGGGCTACTGGGTGACTCGCGCAGAGTCGCTCAAACAGCGAATGCGCGACCAGACGAGAGGTTTCTGGGATGAGACCACCACTTGCGAGTTATTGTTTTGGAAATTACGCCCCCACGCGACAAACAAGCAAGCACACACGTGCGACGACCAACGGCGGCAGCGACGACGTGCGGAGATGGGCGTTCAGCATGTCTGCAGCGGGTGGATAAAGCCCCTTTTCGGTGCGGGCGGATGACAGCTGACTGACAGATGCAGCCGTCTACTGGTGGCAGTTGGGTGGGTGCGACGATGTCGCGACGGCGGCTCCGTCGTGATTCGCGACAGGGATGCACGCCTTCCTTGATCTGGGGTCGTGCCTGCCCGAGAGACAGATCGTCCATCCCGCTAGCCGGCCGATCAGGCCTTGCGCCAGCCATCACCTCACTACGGCGAAGTCACCAGTGCGAAGTCGAAGAGGAGTGCGAAGACGAATGCGACAAGGCTGCGACAAGCAGCAGACAGCCCATCAAAGGCTGCGCTCCTGAGCACGGACGAACTCTGCGCGGCCTCCATGTGGCAGCTACCCAACTCTGCGAAACCTCCCCCTCTGCGCATCTTCAGATCTGGTAGGCACGTCGCCCATGCGCCTGTTGGACGCCCCGAGGAAATGCGAGTCTCTATCCCTCGACGTGCAGCCGTCCTTGTGTGAGGTGAATCCATACCAGGTTACTGCCCACGCCAGGATATTGGTTCGAGGGTCAACCTTCCCCTCGGGACCGCTCTGTCAATGACCACCGGAAAAAGCAAAGTAAGCCCCCAGCAGTCATGGTGAGGCCTCGTACAATCTAAGACAGTAATGGTAAAAGCCACATTGGCCTTGTCGCACAACAAAAGTCAACCACCTTGACAGTCTGTCACTCCTTTCTTGTGGGTGTTGTTTCATAGCGCCAAGGCCCTTTTCTGCGCCTTGCGCCATGTCCTACAGGGGTTGCCAGCCTTGAGTAGCGTCGTCATTCGAGGTTAGCTCCAGGGCACGTCTCGCCCTCAAATCTAGCTAGAACAACGCCGCTGTCAGTGCCGTAGACGGAAGGCCGTATTCGCGATTCTCAACTTGGAATACAGGGTTTTGCATAAGAAGACCCCTTATGCCAAAGCACTAATTCACGCTTTCCATCACACAGCTGCAGAAAAGTCTCCTACATCCAGAGAACACCATCTTTTCATCGTCCGCCAATTCCTCCCTCGACTGCTGTATCCAGATGGGGCCACGGCGTCATCTGGCGCTCGCAGTGACCCCAAATCTAGTTTCACAGTTCCGTCACACGCGCTATTTAAAGCAGGGTCGACCTAGCAGGGAAGTCTCCGTCTCAGCAAACTTCGTGTTCGACCTGGTGTTCGACTTGTCGCTTCCTTTTCGCATCTGCAGTATAACAACATGTCTGCCGAACCTATCGGAACTGCTCGGAGTCCATGTCCTAGCTAACATACACACAACGGTCGTTTGTCGAAGCGCATACTTCATCCTTCTCTTTCCTTTGTTTTCTGAAAATCAACTTACATTGCATCGCGGACGGTTCCACGGCCACCATGAAGTTGACGAATGCGACGTGCGTCGAGTCAGACTCTTTGACAAAAATATATTCGATGATGGCCAGACGAAAACGAAAACGTTGTGGTCACATATGTGCCACATTAAGAAGCACTGTTGCCAAACGGATATAACACCCGCTATCCCTGACCTAACCTCCAGTACGTACTGTTCAGAAATACGGCTACGCAAGTATGTTCGTGCATGCCAGTTTCTCAAGAGGTAGGCGGGGTTTTCGTGTCCAATGCTACAGGCTGCGGGTGCTTGCAGGCATCGGGATCTCATCTGCTTCTTCAGTGCAGCTGTCTGTCGCCTGGCGCACAGCAGCAATATCGACCTGGTCCTTGGAACGAGCAAGTCCGGATTCCCATTAACCGGCAGATGCACCACTCATCGGCGGGAACAGCGCATTTAAACGTGGTGCCGATCGTATCACATTCAGTTTGTACGATCCGCTTCACTTCCTTACAATCAAGACTCCTCTACTTGATCGCCATTGCGATCGAATGCGTCTCGAGGATTACCACAAGGTCAATGATATCTTCGGACATTGATTCATCAGTATTGCCACTTATATTGCCATTCATATTGGGAACTAGCACATCTACAGAATGTCGGCATAAATCCTGTATGACCATGAAACTTCATTGATCTTGTTTCATGCTCGCAGGAAAGGTCTCCTAACCCCAGTAGCTTTTTCGATTATCGCATATCTGGATATCATGGCTGCGCATTCTTCTCACGTCTGTCCCTTGTAAAACCAACTGTTCACTGAGACGTGAACGTCATACCATCTGGGGTTGGAGACTCATGACAAGTGCACCCACCATGTGGTGCTAGGCTTTCAAATACTCAAGACTAGGAACCCATCAAAGCATCAGGCGGAAACAGCCTCTGTCTATGTTTATCCTATCAAACTGACTTGAAACAAATCTTTTTCACTAGCTCGAGATGTCAAAACGACGTTGGCAAGGTACAGATCCACAAATAGCGACATGATCGAGTGTTTGTAACCCTTCAATCTCGTCAACCTTTGCACCCGATGCACACCGGTGCGACCGCTGGAGTTACCAACGTTAACGGCTGGCGTCCGAGTATAGTCTCCACATCGAAGCAGCCTAGTATTGATTCGATCTCCCACCATCTCTCGAGTCATTTTGCGTCGTTCACCACTGGGAGGCCTTTCACTAGACCATGATCATCTCTCATGCGCATTCGTAATGTTGAGCGCTCTCTCAGCCGTCCTAACCGAGTCCTCGATTTCAGACGCAATCACTCGCTGGGGCCTGTGATCTTCTTGCTTGTACAAAGGCTATTGAATGGCTGTGTATGACCAATCAGCAGCTTCTTCTAACGTCTTCGAAAACTCAACCGCTTTGGGCTCATCGACCGGACGTCAAAACACCCGCTTCGCCATAGAACGTTAGCATGCGGCCTTGATACCTAGTTGGCCACGCCGCCACACGACACGTGCCTTACGCCTGTCGCTTGTACTTGCTTTTTCTACCTTCGGCCGCTTACAGCTGTCACCCCAACGTCGATGCGGCTTCGCATCGTTCATGGCGACTGCCGTGTAGCGGTTTCCTGTGTTTGCAAGCCTATCGTCATGACGAGCTATGCAAAGCTTTTATGCACTCGAAGCGGCTGCAATCAGCCTAAAGTTTGGACCACTGCGTCCTCTGTTGTCTTTTTGGCTCCATTTGATCATGCCGTCTGTTAACGAGTATTGATAGAACGCAACATGTTGCGAGATGTTCTGTTTTCGATGACTTAGAGAACCACGAGAGGTAGGTATGTCGGAACGATGTGTTGGTTGTCGTCAGCGCCGTGCTGTCACTGAGCAGAAACAGCTCACCTGCATCTGTCACCATCCGCAAAATTCCGGCCCTGATCGCGTGTCACTTGTCACATTAGCGTCCGGTGATGGGCTGGTTTTAGCTGACGCTAAGGTCCTGTGAAGTGTCATTGTTGTGTCAACAGTTGCACAATCTGGAAACCACCGCTCATAGCATGGCAAACCTTACCTCACAGAGTATGGCGAGTCCCGAAACCCCGGGACTTATGGAGTCGGAGAACATCCCACTGCTGCTTTGAGGTCTCGCTCAAGCACCACAACTCCGGAGGAGCGTGCGTTATCGTTTGATCCCGCATGCGCAGAACCCCACACCGAGACCAAGCAGAACGTGTTTTTGCAGAGTTCTGTCAGCCACTTGCGTCCGGTGAAAGAGGTAAGAGATCATTATGATTAGCGCGTCAGTTGGTCGCTTTAGGTCGATCCAGCCGCATCTGGGCGAGTTCAAATTCAAATCCCGACACGAGTCGGGTTTAAGTTTGACACTTGTCAATCACTGTTCTTTCGCTGAATTTAATTGCCTGCTTTGTTCAAAACATTGGGATTTAAAGTTAGAGCGACAAGTTCAAGCGTGCGTTATGGTATGCTCCTCGCATTCGGGGTCCTTGTATTTCCCAATTGGACTAGTGCGTAGCTAGAGGACACGCGGTTTATATCTTATTATATGATCGTCAGATATAATATCAAGTAACATCCCATTACTTCGACATCGCCAAAGACAACGTTTAATTGAGCGGTGTAGATGCCCCAGATAGTGGTAAGATTTGTTGCTTGTCTTGTTCACATCTTAGCCCTGAGGTTCTCCATCCCTTATCAGCGATCGCTGGAATATCACTTTGAAAGACGCTAGTCTCTCAAATCACTATACGCGCAATTAAGTAACCTTTATAGTATTTCCTATTAACTCTATTCTTATCCTTCACGTTTGCAAAGTAGTTTATGTGTATAAAAGAACATTAATTACACTAAGGTACTGTGTCAATGTAAAATACACTAGGTTAGGTAAAATTATACTGTGTATAAGGGTAAATTTATACTTTTATACTATATCTAGCTAAATTTACCTAATATTCTAAGTAATTTATACTAATATTAAAAGATTTATATACTTTATTACTTTTAAATTATTACTATATAAGAAATCTTTATAAAGAAAAGAGAGTAAAATAAGTAAAAATAAACTTTTATTTATAATTATTATATAATTACTACTTTTTTTTTCTAAGCTTTAACTAAATTATATATTTTAGTATAGTACCTAATAGATTAAATACTATATTAAAGCTATATAATTATAAGTAAACTATTTATAGGCAGCTTAAAATATAACTTTATACTAGTTAATAATAAAAAAGCTTTTACTTAACTTAAATATACTAGGCTAGAAAATAATACTGTTAGAGTTATACTTAATAGTAAAAAGTATAATAATTAGGTTTCTACTATAGTTAAGTAAGTACTAAGTAATAGTATTATTACTTAAGTAACCTACTATACTAGTATAATATAAAAAGAATATTATAAAGATTATATAGCTACGCTTAGCGCTAGTCTAAAAATCTATAATAATATAATATTAATTATTTATAGCTAGAATACTATTTAGACTATATAAAATACCTAAAGTAGAGATATTATAGTAGTATATATTAAATAAAAAGAAGTAAGTTTTAACTAAAATAGCTTAAAGTTACTATTAAAAGTATATTCTAGTTTAAAAAGTACTAGGTATTAGTAGTATAGCTATATCTAAGCTTACTTTATTTAAAGTTATAAAAAAACCTACTTTATTATTATTATATATAAATATATAGTTAAAAGGAACTTATTAGTAGCTATTAATATAGTTATCTTATAAACTAAAATTAGTATTATTAATACTAAAAGTAGAAGGTTAAATTAAAGTTAGCTTATAAAGTAAAGTAGGTAAAATATATAGTAAATACTATTATATAAAAAGTAGTAGTAGAGGTCTCTATACTTATTACTATAAGTAAAAAGGTAATTAAAACTAGTATAAGTATAAAAGTAAGTAGTAACTAATTAATTACTATTTAAATAAAATATAAAGACTATAAATAATAAAAGATATAATTAAAGATAGCTATTTCTAAGTTAAAGAAATTAAAAGGTTAAAGTTAATAAATAAGTATAAATACGTTAAAGTAGGTAAAGGTATATAAAAGTAAAGTTATATATATATAGCCTAAGCTATAGTAATATTTAGTTATAATAAAAATACTTATAATTTTAAAGATATTAGCTACTTAAACCTACCTATTTAAATAGTATTTATTAAAGTTATAAGAAGAAAAGCTCTATATAATAGTAGTTAATAAGTAGTATTTACTTAAGCTATTATATAAGTTATACTTATTATTACAGCTTCTACTTTAATATATAAAATACTAATAAACTTATCTATTTATAAATACCTAAAGGTTTATAATAATAAATAATATACCTAAAAAAAATTTAATAATTAATACTTTATATTAAATAAGATTTACTTTATTAGCCTTATACTATAATTCTAGATACTAAGTACTAATAATAGTAATATTCTATATAATTTCTAGAAAAGGCAAAGACTCTATATACTAACTATAGTAAAAGTTAGTATAGTTATATATAATTATTTTATATAAAGTATCTAGTAGACAACTATATTAACTTTATAATACTAATTACTAAGTTTAAGCCTAATAGAGAGTTTAAGAGAGAGTAAGCTATAAAGTAATTAAACTACTTAAAAGATACAAAATTTAAAAAGAAATAATTATATCTATAGCTCTATTATAAATAATATAAATTACTTACTATTAATAAAAAAGTATATAGTAAAAAATTAAATATCTATACTACTTAACTTATTACTATTATAAGCTTCTTTATTATAGAACTTTATAGATAATACTTTATATAAGTAAAGTATATTAGTCTAAGTAATTAAATATATTTATAATATCTTAGTTCTAAGTAGTATAAATATACATTAGCTACTAGTACTATATTATATTAGTATAAATATAAATAAGTATACTAGGCTTAAGGCTATTACTATAGCTATAGTAGACGTAGTAGTAGTACTACTTATAATTATAGCTATATATATACCTACTACTATAGTTACTAGCTTATTACTTTAATAACCTAAAACTTTTAAGTCTATACTCCTTAGTTTACCTATAATAGTTACTATAATTACTACTATAGTAGCTATAGTTATAAAGCTAGTGCTGTATTCTACTAAGTATAATATAGATTTATATATAGTACTATATAAGGCTATATAGTATACCTTTTTTTAAAAAGCTACTCTTAACCTTTAAAGTAAAGTTCTATAGTATTCTAACTACTTTCTTAAATAGTAATCTATAAAGAATATCTTTAGTATATATACTAATAAATCTTATAAAGTCTATAGTACTTAGCTAATATTCTAATAGCTATAAAAAATATATAATTAATAAAACTACTACTATACTTATTACTACTTCCTACTATAGCCTCTTTAATAGTAGTAGGCTAAAGTCCTATAATTTTATATAAAATAAGATCTACTATTCTACTACTTATATTATAAATAATAAATCTATTATTATTTATAAACTAGGTATTTTATACTATACTACATAAAGACTTAAAGTATATAATATAGTAAACTCTAGTTCTATTATAATAATAATTTCTTTAAGTTAAGAAAATTCTAA